GAGTAAGATAAGATGGTAATGAAGTAGTGGGTTTTGCCATGGGTGATACCAAGATCTTTTCTTGTACTTGTAGCTGAAAGGAAGAGTTTTGTTCAAAATTTACAGTTGACATATGAAGGGAAAAAATTAAATTGATGAAAACTATGAAATTGGACTCATGTCTGGTACAGAAGATGAAAGGAAGAATGGTCCTGATTTTCGGCTACCTTGTATAACGTGAACACTCAGCCATACCAACTTTACTAGTCAAGAAAGTGAATAAACTCACGTTTGATGGTGCAAAAGTCTGCTAGGAGTACAATAAACCAAATGAGAACAGGAATGATTATAAGAATTGCATAGTTTTTCTTGCAATCAATACTCACGATAATTGGTGATGATTGTGTTTGAATCACTGGTTGTTGAATTATTTCCACCTAAATAAAAAGCTTATTAAAATATTGAGAAAAAAAGCTCTTAGAATTTGTATCATTGTGTTTTTTATAAAATTCATCATTGAAACATACATCTTTTTTTTAATATGCAGTATTTTCAATTTTGTTCACTATCGGCAAATTATACAATAACACTTACCACTATATTTGTCTGTGACTGAATATTTCTTTCTGGAATTTGATTTTGTATATATTGTGATTGTGAGTTTAGTAATGGTCGATATTCGATATTTGATGATGGTTGTGCGAGAATAGGTGATGGTAATATATCCATGTCAGGTTCTTGAATTGGTTGTACCTAAATGTCAAGTTTATTGATATGATACTTTATTGAAATTTTGCATTATAATCAAAAGTTTCTTATATAGAAACCATTCTTACGTACATCAACGTTTGCTGTTAGTTGTACAGATGTTGGTGATTGTGAGTCAAGTTGAAATTGTTCTTCTGATATTGGAACTTGTTGTTCCTGTTAGAAATATGAAATACAATTGTACATCTCGAGTAATTCTACTTACTGTATATGTCATTGTCAATTGGTCTTCAAGAACATCGAAACGATTTTTCTAAAATAGAAAATACTTGTTTTTTTTAGTTCTGTATTGATTTCGTGTATTGATCGTATATTTGATAATAAATATATCCTACATTTAATTTCGATGGTTTTCTTCGTTTGGTTATAAGTTCCTAAAAAACAAAAAAAACAATTGAATAGAAATCTATAAAATATAAATATTTATTATACATGTTTAAATGGACTTCTCATAATTTTTGGTAAACTTGTTGGAATACAAGCAGCCTAAGATTTAGAAAAGAAAAAAAGAATGTTGTTTTTTTCCTTTGTTAATAATTAATAAATAAAAAAATCTCTCTTAACTATTTTAATTGATATATGATTAGGTGGATTACCATCTTCTGTACCAAGAAGAATAATTCTTATTAAATTTGCTTGTGTATTAGCAAGACCATTAATAGTTTTCGAACCAATTATAGATTTAATTTCAAGATAATAACCATGAGAATTATGACATTGAATTTTAAAACTATCAACATTAGTTAAAGGATTAAGTGTTATAGAATCTATTGACATTGTTCTACTCAATACAATATCAATTATATATTCTTCTGTTGTAAGAAAATCCATTCCATCTTGATTTGGATTAATTAAATTATTAGGTTTGATATGCATTGTTGCAGTTTTAATATCGATTCGTGTTACTTGTTTTGGATTGCCAAGTAAACGTAATTGAGGTGTACAATCAGTCATTTCAGGAGCTTCATTACCTTCCTAGGAAAAATATTTGAAACACAATGTAACTGATGTTGCTAATCACAAAAAGAGTGCTTTATCCTTCAGAAATACAATAGAAAAATAGTTCATATATTATAACGAGACGTTATTCACTTATGAATAACTGACGTATTTGAATCGTAAAATGTATGTTATTGATTTAGAGACAAGTTAGATCCCAAGACGATAAGCAAAGAATCTTTCTTGTTCTAATCTCTACTTCATTATACTTACATTCGATGGCGAATAAATTGGATTACAGACACCCTATGAAATTAATTTCACTAATATTATATTAATTAAAACATATTATTTCACTTACAATACTAAGTGTAATATGACTTGGTAAGTATCCATCAGTAGTATGAATGATTGTAATTACTAACATAGAAACTAGCATTGTTGGAAAACCATCTACAACTAAACCATCTTTTGTATTCGTAGAAGTAAATACACCTAACATTCCAGCATGTGAAGCTTCTACTTTAAAGCTTTCTACATTAGCCGAAGATGGTATAAATATATATTTCATTGTGAATGGTTGAGCAAAATGTACTTCAAATTCATAAGTATCACTTGGTGATGAAAATGTATAACCAGTACCACCAAAATTTATCTCTGGTCCAACGACTTGATGTGCAGGATTGCGTGATCGAATCATAGTTATATGTGAACCACCGATAATAAGAATTTGATCAAAACATTGACCAGGTGTACGAGAAAATGGTACTGGTTTGTTTGGTGAAGGCATCTATGTAAAATTAAACAAGATGAATAAATAAACAAAAATCTTCACTATTTTCTATATTCATAAAAAACAAAAACAAAAACAGAAAACAGAAAACATTACTCCAAAGTTTTATATTAATCACTACAATGAGGAATAATATAACAAATAACATACCGGTCCAAATGAACCAGGCTGTCGACCAACAGTTTCCTATAGATAAGAACAATTAGAAACAGTTCACTTATATGAATATTTATCATAAAAGAAAATAATTCATCTAAGTGATTTTGATAGAACTCACCATCTAAAATAAATTGAAACAAAATAAATAGTATTATCTAAATATATAACTTACATTTATATCGATTGTTGCTATCAGTGGTGGTGATGGTATGCGATTACTAGTTGATACACTTGAATCGATAATCTAGAACAAACATTATGGCAAGAATTCTTAATAACAGATGAAGATCGTATAAAACTATTCCTAGGAGCATTCAGAATAAATACTTCGACTACTGGTAATTCTGCAAGGTACTAAACTCGATGACCTACATCGAAACTTTCGTTAGGCACTCAGAAATGACAAACTTACTGAGACATCCACAGCTCCAACAATATTATTTGACTGAGCGACATCCATTGTAGGCATTGACATTCCTGAATCAACAGGACTTTCATACTATTTTATAAAAAAGAAAACAGTAATTCATCAATTGATATTACTCTTTAAATACTAAAATAATCACTTACATAAGGTTGTTGTTGTATTCCTGTAGGAATTTGAGAAATACTTGGACTACGATAGTATTGACCACCTATCATTGGACTACTTCCACTACTTATCGATGATAAATCAAAACAAGCATTCTATAAACATTTAACAAGAATCATTTACATCACATTCCTTTCTCTTTTTTTCTTAACATAAATAACTTACAATCATAATTTTAATATTACTTGGTGGTCTACCATCATTTGTTGTATATAAGTTCAAATATAAACGAATAGCAACTTTTGCTAATGGAATTCCAATTATAGCTGGTTGATTATTAGATCCAGGAATTATTGATGAATAATATGTATCATCAACATTTCTCAAAGGATTATATAATCGTAAACCATATCTTTGTACATTAGATTGTGGTCCAAGTGTAAGTGTATGAACATAGATATTAACTCGTAGATTAATGACTATCGTATGATAAGGATAGTGAAATGATGAAAATGAATAACCCTACGAAAAAAAGTATTGTTTGGATAATAAAAGACTATAGAATATTTACTGTTGATTCCGATTGTGAGTTAATAATACCAGAGACGGGAGTTTCTTGTGGACTATTGATATGAAATATATTTTGTACATTGATATTACCAACAATTTGAAGATTATTATAACAAAAATAGTTTGCTGGAACTTGTGATGTCGTCATTGATGGCAAATTATTCAGTACATTTGATGATGACTGAAGAAAAACCAAATTTCAGTATGAAGCTGAACTCATTATCGAAAAGAAGAGGAAGGTTATTTTGTATCATTCACTGCCAGTCATTTATTTTTAAATTTTCTTGCAATCCATAAAGCAACAATAAAGTTTTAAAGCAAAATCCTGACTGCATTCGTCATCAGACTTAGAATATGGATTAACTTTTGCGAAGGAATATTTCCTGAACTGTAGTTCACATGAGTTTTTTCGTTTAAAAGTAAAGTATGCATAGTTGCTCGCTGTGTAGATTCTTACAAAAATTTTGACTAAAATAACGAATTACAATTAGATAAAATTGGATTATGAATTTTTTTAAACAGTTAGTGAACATAAAAATCAGACCGGTAATATTAGCACGATTGTTTATGTCCGAGGTATAAACTCAAATGTATTAAAAATAATATAAAACTGTCTAATTAAAAGATTCAATTCATTCGTATTTACCTGTAGCATTGGACTATGATAATGAGATATAGCAGAAGTGAGCATTGTTTGAGGAAGATTCTACAAAATAAATCAATAAACACAAAAAAATAACAAACATTATTTATATACGGGATATTGCATTTGCATTGATGGCACAGATGATTCACTGATTTCAACCTTAAAATTAAAATACATTCAAATTCGATGCGTGTTTTTTTCTTTGAACTGCATATCATATCTATTTAACTTACATTAACATCAACATTTGCAATGAATGGTTCCGATCGTATTGGACCGCTGTCAACAGAATCAGTTGCAATTATTAAATCCGGAGCATTATTATTTTGTGCAGACGAACTACCACTTTCATCCTTCGAAACACAAGAGAAAAGCTACTGATAACGACAACTATGAGTGCATATCGAATCACTTACATATGGTGTACGAACATTCGAATCGATACTTCCTACAATATTTACAGTTTCAACAATATTTTCCCTTGAAACACCTGGTCCTGACAATGCTGGAGCATTATAACTTCCAATCTATCGATAAAAAGAAAACCAATTCACAAATTGTTAATACATGAAAGTGATCAAATCAATTACTTACGTAGGATTGTTGTTGTATTCCTGTGGGAATTTGTGAAATACTTGGACTACGATAGTATTGACCACCTATCATTGGACTACTTCCACTACTTATCGATGATAAATCAAAACAAGCATTCTATAAACATTTAACAAGAACCATTTACATCACATTTCCTTCTCTTTTTTCTTAGCACAAATAACTTACAATCATAATTTTAATATTACTTGGTGGTCTACCATCATTTGTCGTATATAAGTTCAAATATAAACGAATAGCAACTTTTGCTAAGGGAATTCCAATTATAGCTGGTTGATTATTCGATCCAGGGATTATTGATGAATAATATGTATCATCAACATTTCTCAAAGGATTATATAATCGTAAACCATATCTTTGTACATTAGATTGAGGTCCAAGTGTAAGTGTATGAACATAGATATTAACTCGTAGATTAATGACTATCGTATGATAAGGATAGTGAAATGATGAAAATGAATATCCCTACGAAAAAACAACTATTGTTTGGGTAGTAAAAGACTATAGAATATTTACTGTTGATTCCGATTGTGAGTTGATAATGTCAGAGATAGGTGTTTGTTGTGGACTATTGATATGAAATATATTTTGTACATTGATATTACCAACAATTTGAAGATTATTATAACAAAAATAGCTTGCTGGAACTTGTGATGTCGTCATTGATGGTAAATTATTTAATACATTTGATGGTTGCTGCAAAACCAAATATAAAATTCGTTCATAAATACTGCTTACGATACTATGTATTCTGTTGAAAATAGGTATCACAAAGACACGTTACTAATTAGTTTAAAGTCAAAGGTCTTTCTTTACTATGATGAAAACTACTATATGTAAGGATGAGTGAAATGCCAAACTTACGGATAATACTAAACTTGAATAATAGGACACGGTCGGTGAACGTGGTTGTTCAACAGCTGACTATAACATAAATGGAAGGTTGAGAATACTAATTATTTTAAGAAACAATAATGCTAACTTACCGAATAATAACTGTCTGATGACGGTATTGCTGGAACTTCCATATTAACCTACGAATAAAAATATAGACAAATTAGTCAATACTATAAATCAAGGTACTAGTTTTGATGACTTACATTAATATCAAGAGATTCAGTGAGTGATGGTGATGGTGTTTGCATACCAATCGATCTATCATAGGCAATATTCTAAAAATAGTTGATATCAGTGGACAACTCTTAGATTATAAACAAACTTTAGGATCATTGCTAGAAGCATCAACTAGCATTGTTATTGATGGAGCTATATTATTAACTGCCATCGACTCAACATTTGTATCCTTGAAAAAATATGATTAAGATTAACAGTGATGATAGGTAGTGTCCTTACGTATGATACTTGAAGACTAGGAGAAACACCTCTACCATCACTAGTTTCAAGAGGACCAGAGCTTGATGGTATGCTATTAACCTTCAAATGCAGATTCTAATGAAGAACGGTAACATATATATTAAACTTACTGAAACATCGACAGTCCCAACGATGTTGCTTGATTGGGCGACATTCATCATAGGCATTGACATTCCTGAATCAACAGGACTTTCATACTATTTTATAAAAAAAACAGTAATTCATCAATTGATATTACCCTTTAAATACTAAAATAATCACTTACATAAGGTTGTTGTTGTATTCCTGTAGGAATTTGTGAAATACTTGGACTACGATAGTATTGACCACCTATCATTGGACTACTTCCACTACTTATCGATGATAAATCAAAACAAGCATTCTATAAACATTTAACAAGAATCATTTACATCACATTCCTTTCTCTTTTTTTCTTAGCATAAATAGCTTACAATCATAATTTTAATATTACTTGGTGGTCTACCATCATTTGTTGTATATAAATTCAAATATAAACGAATAGCAACTTTCGCTAATGGAATTCCAACTATAGCTGGTTGATTATTCGATCCAGGAATTATTGATGAATAATATGTATCATCAACATTTCTCAAAGGATTATATAATCGTAAACCATATCTTTGTACATTAGATTGTGGTCCAAGTGTAAGTGTATGAACATAGATATTAACTCGTAGATTAATGACTATCGTATGATAAGGATAGTGAAATGATGAAAATGAATAACCCTACGAAAAAAAAAGTATTGTTTGGATAGTAAAAGACTATAGAATATTTACTGTTGATTCCGATTGTGAGTTGATAATATCAGAGATGGGAGTTTGTTGTGGACTATTGATATGAAATATATTTTGTACATTGATATTGCCAACAATTTGAAGATTATTATAACAAAAATAGTTTGCTGGAACTTGTGATGTCGTCATTGGTAGTAAACCATTGAATACAAGTGATGGTGACTACAAAAATAAAATAGTTTTTTAAACTGCTTCTAGAATTATTGAAAAGATATTCTGATAATTGTTTAAAGTAAATATAATTCCAGCTCATTGCTACATGAAAGCAGATGCTCTACTTTCAATCAGTAATAAGTAAGTATCAGTTTAACGTACTGAGACAGCATCAGTTGAGTACGGTTTGTTTGAAAGATCACCAGATACCTGTAAATGTTAATCAATTGGAAAATTTATAATATGCAAAGATGATAAACATCTTACACTCAGATCAATTGTAGCAACAAGTGCTGGCGATTTTGCTTGCATATCGTTTAATTCATCTTGATTATTAATCTAAAGCAAACGAAATATTCACAATAACCTTCTTATAGAACTCTCACTGCCAAAGACGTATCAACATTATCTACCATTTGGACTACTGGTACTTGAGAAAGGATTTGTAGTGAAGGTGAACTTTCTTCGGCTCCCTATTGAAACTTGAGGATAGAAGAGCAAATAAAAAACAAAAGACAACATACACGAGTTTCTGATGGTACATATCCAGAATCACTACTACTAACCTGAAAACCACATATTAAAAATCTATACAGTGATCTGTAGTTAACTGATATCGATGTAACTTACACTAACATCTACTGTTTCAACAAGAGAATCGGAGGGTTTACGTACACTCGTTGGTTCTTGAGCTTCATAAGTCTATGAAAAAAAAGAACACATCCTTAAGCTTGATTGAGTATCGAACTTACAATAGATGGTATGTGTGCTTCATCAACGACTATTGGCTGAGTTACAGGAGCAACATTAATCTATGAACGAAAATTTGAATTTATTATTCATTTTTTCACCTAATAACATATCTTTAACTTACACTAACATCGACAGTGTCTAGCTGACTTTGTGATGGTATCAAAGTATCCGACGCTACACTTGGATTAATGATCTATCAAAAACAAAGCTTTTTTGTTTCAAAACTATCAAATTTTACTTCATCTTACTGTCTTAGGAACCAATGAAGATATTGAACCACCAACGTTAGCCTAAAATAAAACAATCTTTGTTTTTTTTTTTATGAAATCAAATAAATTTTCAACTTACATTAACATCAATTGTTCCAGTCAACAGATCGGATGAACTATCTGAATCAACAATCTAATATAGTAAAATTTTTCATAATTATTTCAACAAATTTTATTCAAAAATATGATTACATACAATCGGATGTTTATGTTTTGGTGCTATACAATAACCCTAAAATAAAATATAAATAATTATAAATAAAATATCAATAATTACTACATACAATATCTAATGTAACATCACTAGGTGGTAAACCATCATCAGTTGCATTAAGATATACTTCAAAAAATCTTGTTGGTTCTTTAGCTAAAAAATTTTCAACAACAGGACTTTGTTCAACTTTTGAATGATAAGCATTATGTCTTCGTCCAGAATCATAATGAACCACAACATATAATAAAATAACATTACTTGCTGGCACAGAAACATATTGTAAAAATACATATGGTATCATTCGTATTTGTAATATATATGTATCCATTTTAGGAAAATCAATACCATCACTATCAGGATCAACATTACGATTAATACGTTGATCAATTATAAAATATGATGCATTAGCTACTCGAATCCATTCAACATTTGGATGACCATAAAGTGGACCACCTGCTGTACAATTGACTGCTAATGAATCATCATATTCACCTATCGGTTGATTACGATCATCCTCTTTTAATAGAAAAAAAAACAAAAGATATTTAAAAAAAAAAACAATCTTGAACGTTTTTTTTCAAACCTGGTATTATGTCCTAAAATATACAAAAAAATATATATTAAATTATGAATTTTTAAGAAAATATCGTAAGATTGATCAAAGTTTAAATGGATTTGAGCGCATGTCTTACTAACGAGGGAATACTTTTAACTAATCAATCATTTTTTTTCTATGAAAGCTAGGAAAAGTGTCTTGAAACTTTCATAGACTAGTTTCTCAGGATAATACATATTTTGACAAAATCATTTTTGATCTATTCCGATTATAGAACATATCGATTTGTTTTTTTTTCTTTTTCAAAAGTGAGTGTTAAGTAAAATAATATAATCTTTAAAAAAAAAATTTCACATTGAAATGTTGATATATATCTGCTGTATAAAACAATTTTAGACGAAAATTTTGTAAGTTTATTTAGTCGTTTCCAATTCCCTCATGAATCAGATTTAAATTTGAATAAAATAATTTTAATTTATTCTAAATATTCAATGAATAGAATTTCAGAATCTTTATTTAATCATTTAACTTACAGATGCAAAATCAACAGGTACAGCAGTTTCATCAGGCTGAGAAAAAAAAAAATAAAGTATCTATTTCAAAAATTTGATAAAATTCTTTGCTTACTTCATCATCTTTAGATTGATCATCTTGATTTGAATATCCTGAAAATAAACAAAATAAACTACGGCGGAACTGTATTTAGTAAGTAATTATATGATTTTATATATATATATTTACCATTAGTTCGATTTATTTTTTCCATTATACAATCAGGATCATCAAGCTCACTTTCAATAGCATCATCATTTTCACTCACTACATAACGAACATTTCTTGAAAGAAGATTTTCATTATTCTATAAGCAAATAAAAAACTTCTTATATATATATATATAAATACTAGAAAAGTAAAAATTTTAATTCTTACGAAAATCAAAATTGGTATTTCAGAATTTTTTTCAATATAATATTCTGGTAAAGAAGTAAAATTAGCTATAGCTAATGGAATAATTTTTCCTATATCATATGAATTAATTATCATAGTTATAGATGGTTGTTGAGTAGCATCAATTACAGGTAGTATACAAGTATGAAATCTTGAAAATTGATTAAAATCTTCAAATAAAAATGCTGGTGGTTGACACCAAAATTTTATTGACATTATATCAGATTGTATTTGTAATGATAATTCAACAAGACATAATCTATATTGATTATTTTCACAATTAATTGATGTACGTTTATCATAATATAATTCAGTTGTTATTGTAAAATTTTTATTGATTATTTGTTTATCATTATAATTAAATGTTAAATAAAAAGGTGATTTTTCCATAAAAATAAATTTCATTAAAGAAAAAAGAAAGATAAATAATAAATAAAAAGAAATCATAATTGAAGAATATTTTTTTTATGTACAATAATAGAATTTATTGATCTTTAACATATTATTTTATGTGTAACTTATAGAAAACAATACATGTTGCAATTCAATAAGATTAAAGTAGACGAAATACTTTCTTTTTTTTTTTGTTTTTCTTATTCTGTATTTTAATCGAACGAAAATATTTGGTTAATGTTTTCTGTTTTGAATCAATTCCATATGATTGTTATTTAGTACGTTTTTCTTGACATTCATTCGTTATAAATGAATTAGAACATATGTATTAAATTAAATTGTTTCTTTTTTTTGGTCGGATATTAATCTAATAAATACTTTTTGATTAAATATTTACGAAGAATGTTATTCTGGATTTTAGTATTCATTTTTGAATAAAAACTGATTAGACTTGTTTTTATTTCAAAATTTACTAAATAGAAAATTAGAATTCTTGCTATATACTATCGAATGATGTTTTCAGTCTATTGCAACGTTCTCAGCTATTGTTTTTCTATGTTGTCAAATCTCCTAATACAGAAGAAATGAAAAAAAAAAAGAACATTAAATAGAAATGTATAGAATGAAAGCAGAAAAAGAAAATGAAAATTAAATTATTGTAGTAGCAAAGCAGTATTTCTCAAAAAAAAAGTAGCAACCTGAAGAGAAGCCAACGATCGCTGGATACATATTTCTAGCAATAGAAGCAGGCGCGTTAGTAATAATAGGGTTTTGATAATTCTCGAACTTTCTAGAATCTTTCAAAGCATTCTATGAATCTGAGATTTTTACCTAGCCTAGAGTGTGGCGTGAACGTATCTATGCTTAACACAAACTACATCCTGTATAGATACTGGTTGTTTGAAAATTAAAGCTAAATGCGCTTTTAAAACAAACATTGAAACCTTTTTTTTTTTTGTTGAAAATACGCATAAAAGTGTATCTTTTTATTTTAAAAAATTGCGTCTAGACGCGTGTTTTCTAATGACAATGTATTTAAGACCGTGTTTTAGATACAATCAATTGACATGGGCTAATCATTCAATTTACAATAATTTTCCTGTCAGAATTTTAAGAATGTTTTCAGTCGTCCTTTTAGCAAATCATTTTTGATTATGAGTATTAGTTTTAAGTTTCAATGAACCAGTGGGATTAAGTCTGTCCATGTAGCTCGTACACATTCAAGTTTCCTAGTTTTTGCTTTCTTATCAATGTCTGTGTCATAATCGAGCATTTGTTCTTGTTACTAATTTGACACAAAATTTATCTATTAACTCATACGAATAACACATTTTTATTGAAGAAGTTATCCTTGATATGTTCGATCTTCTGTTAAGGTTCTAAATGATAAAAAAAAGGAAAAAAAGAAATTTAACTTGCAATACTGCATTATGAAAAATGACGAAACAAAAATAATGTTCACTTGGATTTTTTCTATTCTTCCTTATCTTGTCAAAGGAAAAAAAAAATAAAACTTCAGCATATAGACGATACAAAGCCACCATTTTATTAACAAATTTGTTCAATACTTAAAGATGACATATTCCTCGAAGAAAATTGACTTCGACCAATTTCTCTTCTTCCTAATGTAGGGAAGTGGTTCCAACGCTATACTCACGAGCAAATACAAGATCGATGTAAAGCTAAAAGAATATTCACTGATAAACAATCAGGTTTCACACCAAATAGCCGTTTATAATATAAATCTGCAGTATTGTCAATCTGTGAAGATTTATGTGTGACTGTAGCAGTCAATAAGCGTTTCGTCTGATTAATTTTTGTTGATTTGTGTCTCATTTTTTAATAAAATATGGTATCCTGCCTTAATAGCTATTTTTACTTGAATTGAATATACCTTTTACCATTGCTAAAATGGATATATCGACAGCTTTAAGATCGATCTATGGCTATATATATATCACGGAGAATCGATCTAAAACTATCAGAATACATATAGTTGCTCGACAAGGTCCAGTTTTAGCAGCAACTCTTTTTAAACTTCATATTCACTTTCTATCAAAGTAGTATATTTTTTCCGAGTTTCCATGCATTTATTTGCCGATGATCTAGCTCTTCTTTTGAAAAGTAGATTAGAAAAGAAACTATCTCAAAATATAACTGAATTAGAAGAACAACCTAAAATAGTAATGATTGCATTTTGCATCTTTTCAGATAATCATTTACTACTTGTTAAAACGTATACATAGTACGAGCAAATAGAAGTTGTATAACTTGAAGAAAATAAACCAACATGTAGTATATTTGCATGTATTGAACGAATCTTTAAGACATTTAATCTTTATTTTTTCAGTGATATCCATTGAAAGAAAAGAATCAATTTTGATTACGAACCAATATACAACATTTATAAATTTACAAGTGTAATTCCATTTTAGGTAAGAGATCTGAAGTCTAATATGACTTTTAGTTTGTACTAGAGACATGTTCTTAGTCGTGAATTTTCCTTAGAATTAAAAAAAAAAAGTAAATTGTGACTATTTTGGGATAAAATTTTTTTGCAAACAAAAAAATTTAAGAAAATTGCCAAAACATAAACAATATAGATATTTGTTATATTTCAAAAAAAATTTTTCATTTCATTCATTGGAGATCACAAATAGAAACTTAGTACTATTCATTCGTTTTATTACTAACTATTCAACTGATGCAAAAAATGAGAATTAAATATGCAACAGTACAGCATAACATGTTGGTCTTACTAGTTTGCATATTTTAGAGACTATAAAATGGCATCATCATTTGAAAAAACTAAAGATGGTAGTGATAAAACACAAGAATTCTCGAATCAATGAAGAAAGAAGATATTGAAGGACAGCGAAAAGAACTTCGGGATTATGTTGCTGTTCACGATGTATCAGGTTACAAGCAATTCCTAGATAATCATTTGAATCAATGGATGAAATATCCCACTACGAATTGCTGTTACTGGTTCATCCGGACATGGTAAGTAACAGACAAGATCATTACATTATAATAAAGGGAAATAAGCAAGGAAAGTCATGGATAATTAGTCTTTTTTTTTCAATCTCATGCAAATAAATGACTGTACCATCCATAGCATGAGCTGAGTCACATATCTAAATCCTTCATATGTCAATACTGATTGAAAAACTAACGAAGCTTCCTATGTACTAAAACAAATACTAATCATAAACATTCATTCTAATTACATCTTTCTTTTTCGAAGGGAAATCCAGTTTGATTAACACGTTACGTGGTTTAAAATCAAAATCACCGGGTGCAGCTAAAGTTGACGTAGTCGAATGTACAAATACTATGACAGAATATCCTGATCCAAAACATCCGAATTTGATTTATTATAATCTACCAGGTGTCAGAATGCCATCTTATCCACGTGATCAATATTTTGAAATTATTAAAAAACAAACGAAAGATGGTGTTGACATACGTGATTTTGATTTCTTTCTAATTGTTTCGGCTTCACGTTTCACAGAAAATGACATATGGTTAGCTGAACAAATGCAAAAGTTTGGCTAAGAATTCTATTTTTTACGCACAAAGTCGATATCGATCTTGAAAATGACTTCAAAGATTATCCTGATGATTATAATGAATCAACTGTGTTATTTAATCAGTACAAAGTTTACTGATAATGAAAAATGGGATTTTCCATTGATGATTAAGTCATTGATATGTGACCATCCTGATTTGAAGCATAATGCCATTGTTATATCGATTACAGTCAATTGTAAAGATGTTATACGTGAAAAAGCTAAAATATTACGTCAACAGATATGGAAAGTAGCTCTAGTAAATGGTCTAATCGGTGCAATACCCATACCAGGTGTATCTACTGCTACAGGACTAGCAACGTCCACAATGATGTTGAAGTATTATAAAGAATGTCTAGGACTGGACACTGAATCGCTGGATACATTGACTAAACAATATAACACTACAAGTGACAAAATACTGGAACAGTTAAACAACACCTTATGGATGGAATTTTTTCCTTTGAGCTTTACAAATTTCATTTTAGCTCAATCGAGTGGAGAAATAGTTAAAAACGGAGCAAAAGAAGCAATAAAAGTCATCGCCACTTGTGGTATTGCAGGTGCTTGTATTAATTCTGCTAGTTCAGCTTATCAACTTCATGCTATGATAAGTAATTTGGAAGAAGCAGCATTGTTTGTATTAGATAATGTAGCAAGACAATCGAAGCAACATTGAAACTCATGATTTCCTTCTCTATACAGCATGTTTCACTGATTTTTGTTAGTTTTCTTCAGTTTAATATAGTTTTAAAAAACTTCAGTTTTTTATTATTATGTAGCTGGATGCAGCGTGTCTTCTCATTTGTTAGCATAAACTCGACATAAAAACTATTAAACTTCAATTTCGTTTATTTTTTTCAATTTGAATTATTCACATAGAGCACAATCTTAGGTGTCAAGTTTTCATTGTTTAAATTCCTAAAAATTCACTTATATTAGTTTTAAAGAAACATATTGCATGACTTAAATTATTTTTTAAGAACTAACTGAAAATTTCAAATTTTTGTTTTTTGAATTTTCAATAAATTTACTTATAAAAACTGTCGTAATCCTTATATCTTCAGTTTTACTTTTAACGAGCTGTAATTTATAGAGTTCACCAGAAATAATTGTTAGTGTTATGAGCTTTTTTTTAATTTGAACATACCATTGTCATTATCACATGGAATCAAAATCAGATGGACACAAACCAATTCTGGTACAAAGCAATTATATAAAAAAATTAAAATATAGAAAATGACATTAAAAAAAACACGGATTTAAAGTATGAATGTTGATGAGAGGTTTCTCTTCACGAATACAATCCCGTCTACTCACTTTACATATGTAATCAAAATTGAATTATTACTATAGATTCCGATCAAACCTCTTTGAAACGTCGCTTTGACTTTAGTTAAAATTCTTCTTATTCAAACATAAAACGATGATCTTTATTTCGTACATTATGAATTTCTACAAATTACCTAGTATTTTTTCTTAAAATAAAATAAAAAAGTTTTTTTATTAAAGTTTTTCACAATGATTTATTTGCTATGGACTATCTCATTCATGAAATCTTTAAAATTTAACTAAATTAGTTTTAATTCGATTGATTTTTGTATCTTAGCCAAAAGTTTAATAAATGTACAAAAGGAACAGTCATATGAACGAACATACGATATGAATCTTCAATTGACTGAAATCTGAAGTACATAAAAATAATAATCATATACACATACTTCAAATAAATCATTTATAATAATAATCAAAATAATTCAAAGATTCTTTTTTTAATTAAATACACACAAATACAAATTCCAGCAAATGTTTTATACTTATATAAATTAAAAATGATAACAAAGGGAAAAAAAAATTGTAAATAATAATTATCACACGAACATATATATATATATATATACTTAATATTGTCAAATTAATGGAAATAAAAACAAAACAAAAACCAATAAAAGAATTTCAAATCTACAGATAAGACATTCATTCTCACATTAGAATAAAAAACAAAAAAAAAAAATCACCGATTTAAAATACAGTTCAATGATAATGATCGTGTAAGATGTCCTTTCTCACGAATAGTTGGTATAATTATTGATGAAAAACTATGTGCTCGATTGTTTAGTCTTTGTATCGAATAAGAATTAATGTTCGATTTTAATGTTGGTGTTAATGACATTGATATAGATCGTTGACGTAAACTATAAATTAAAGTTTCATTTTCAAATATTAATTGTTGTTTATCTCGTTCTAATTGTGCTATTTGTTCTTTTAATTGATCACGTTCAACAACAACAGCTCTAGAAAATATAATAAATATTGTATTGTTAAAAAAAAAATATTCAATTTTTTTTTTTTTTTTTTGAAGTTAAATATAAAAACTTCTGTTACATAATAAAAGATTTAGTCAATGATATTGCATATTTGATTTCTTATTTTAATTTTGAAGTATATACATATAATGCAAATATTTAATATAAGCAAAATAATAAGAAAGAGTTATGACATAGATAAGCATAATATACTTAATTTGATAATTGAATACTAACAATAATAAAATATTCAATAGAATCAAAACTTTCAATATTTGTATTATTGTTTCAATATCTTCAAAACAAAAATTTATACAATCGATTTTCGTTAATATTGTTATATATATCCCGAGAAATTACAGATACAATACTTTGATATCTACTATATAGACATTTCATTTATTAATACTATATTTCTGATTTCCATATCTAGTATACTCATAACAGATAGATTTCGATGAGTATCATCAAAGTTATTCCACTCTTGAATGCTTTCCTATAGAAATTACTGAGTTTGCAACATCTAAAATAATTCTACTTTCTCAAATTTCAATTTAAACTAAAATCTATATTATATATGTATTTCTAACAAAATATTTGAATAGTTAAATAATGAATTTTAATTTACTTTTCATTCAATTGCCAATTTCGAAGAAGACATACAAGATCTTGATTTCGATTTTCAGCCATATCAATACGTTTTTGTAATGCTAATTGATCTTCACGCTAGAAGCAACAAAAAAAAACACCGTTCAATAGAATATGAAAGCAAAAAAAAAATCGAATTTAATTTATTTTTAATACTTGAAATACTTGTTCATTAAATTTAGTTCTTAATTGTGTCAATTCTTGACTTTTTATTTCAAGTACTGTTTGTAAACTTGTTTTATCTTTTTCAAGTGTTTCAACACGACGTAATAATGGATCTGCATGTTCACTATTTGCCATTTCTTCCATAAATCTATCAACTTGTTCTTGTAACGATACACAACGAGTTTCGAATTCATTTTTTTCATTCTATTCATCAAAAAAGAAAAAAAATGAACAATAACAAATGTATTTTATTTACTAATAATTTATTCATCTGTTGTTGATATTCAAGAAATTTTTCCTTCGAATTTTCTTTTATTATATTAATTTGATTTTGATATTGTTCATTTAATGTAGCTAATTCATTTTTAAAAGATGATTGTGATTGTTCAATGAAAATCTAATCAATAAGTTCATATTTTTTTTTTTATGAATACAAAAAAAAAATGAATAGAAAATTCACTTTTAATTGATTATGTGCTGTTTGAACTAATTAAACAAAAAATTAATAAATACAAAAAAATAATAACAACATACTTTTCAATAGTTTTAATTCATATTTTTGTTTTATTTGTTCATTCTAACAAATAACAAAAGAATTAAAATCATCTCATTTAGTTTTTCAATATCATCTTACTTCTTCTATATAATATTGACTTAAAATATGCATAAGATCACAATGATTAAGTAGTTGTTGATATTGTTTTTTTAAACGTTCATTAGTAACTTCAAGTGATTGACAAACAATTTTTTGACTATATTCAAATAAAAATAAAATAATTCATAAATATTTTCATTTGTCTATTTTTCTTTTTACATGATTAATTGATTATCAATTGCATCATCAAGACTATGATTAGAATCATTAAATTTTTTATCTTGTAAAACAAAAAAAATATATTCGAAAATAAATAAAATAATAAAACATCAGAAATAATTCTTTTACCTAAATTAAAATCAATCGAATGAGATACTCCTCGATGTGTACCTGATGTTGATTTTGAAGAATTTTTTGATTTATTTTTTTGTTTTGATGTTAAATCGGATCGACTACTAGCAACAGAAGTTGTTGGTGACAATGATTGGTTGAGTTCTAAATCGAACAAAATCGATCACAAGAATGATTTAAAAAAAAAAAAAAAAAAACTATACTCGATTGTGATCCTAATGAACTCGGTGAACTTAATTTATTCAAAGATGAAAGTGTTTTTTTAACTGGCATTAATGATGTCTTCGGAAGAATATTTTGACTACTTGTTAATGGTATAGATGATTTTCGTTGGACATCTAAAAAAAAAAAGATAACAAAAATTTTATTTAATATTATCAATATTTTTCTAACCTTTTTTGACTCCTCCTGAAACAGGTGTTGGTATACTTGGTTTTCTCATATTAATATTAACTTTATTATCTTGTATGTTTATTTTAGATTTATTAATTGATTTCGTTGAACTAATTAATGATGTATTTGAATTTGAAAGTGATTTAGAATTTAATAGATTATTTTTAACAAATGTTATATTATCTTTAAAATCAAATGATAAATCTGTTTGAATAGATTTTGTTAGATCAATTGTAGAAGATAAACAAGGAATCGGTTGTATTGGTTCACTCGTAACTGATTCATTAACACTTTCACTATCTAATTCATCATCATCATCATCATCATCATCATCATCCTCATCATCATCCTCATCAATTGCATCTTCACTTTTTGCTATTGAACTACTTGGTTGAAGTTGATGTAAAATTAATGATACACTATCTGTAAAATCAGATTCAATAGTTTCTAAAGCTAAAAATATAGAAAAATAATTGTATTAATAAGAAATGTTTTTGTTTTGTTTTGTTTTGTTTTTCTAAAACATACGTTCATCAGTTGTTATTGGTTTAGATTCAATAATTGTTTTTGTTTCTGATTTTGTTTTGATAATGTCCTAAAATGAAATTGTATATAAATTTTCGAAAGAATTATTTGTTAGAAAATTACATGATCATCGGAAATTGTTGATTCTTGAATTGGCTCGATTTTTGTTTTCGGTTGAATAGGAGTTGTCGAATTTGGAATAATATCTGGTAAATGAGAAGATGTTTGAGCAGTTTTTATTTGTATTGGTTCTATTCTATCATTTATTTGTGATGGAAGTGTAAATGAACGTGTCATAGTTCTTGGAGGTTTTAAACGACTAATTGTTCGTTGTGGTGTCTAAATAAATTTTTGTTTTTTTTTTTTGTTCTTTTTAATTAAATCCATACTAGAATTCGTTCTCGAGGTGCTAAAACAACTTTATCATGTGGTACAAATATTCCACAATTTGTTTTACATTGAAAATATCTTTCAAAAAAAAAAAAAAAAGAAAAGCTGACATTAATACATTTAATCTTTTTGTTTATTCTCAATACCGAACATTATTCACTTGGCCGTCATGTTTACCATCGGGTTCATCGAGTTCAACACCACAAAATAATCCTTGAGCAAATTTTACTGCACCTACATAACGAAGAGTTCCATTTTTAAGTCCATTTATTATAACACGATCACCAACTTTAAATGATGATTTACTTTAAAAAAAAATGAATAAAATAAGTATCACTTTTTTTTTTTTTTCGTTGTATAATATTTAAAAAAACAAAAAGGGAACTAACGTATCATTTCGTACAGCCAATGGCATTGGCGTCGTCACAGCTGTTGTTTGACGGGATAAAATAGGTATACCAGTAGTTTCTATAGTTGTATTTGTTCGCAATCGTAAGGGTAAAAATGATTTGCGTTCAGTAGCAACCTATAATATGTACAGTAAAGAAATAGATCGATTACATAGACAGAGAGAGAGAGACGACACTTGGTGCATTTTTCTATGTTCAACACCAGACACACATTAATCTATTTCGATATAGTAAAGGAAAGGGAGAACATACCTAATCAAAGAGCAAACGAGCAACATTATATATATGTTCTCTATTTCATTGGCATGAACATGAGCAGAACAAAGTAGAAAAATAAAACCACTAAAGGGAAGCATCACATGCTGTGAATTAAATGCATATACACGCGCATAACATTTACTTTTTTTCTCTAGTTATTGTCATCATCTTATTTTCATTGCTGTTAGTAAAAGTTTAACTATGGACATCTTTGATACTATAGTTGATGTATAAGTAACATAAGAATATAATCTATGTTAAGTGTCATAGATAGCTTAGACATGTTCAAGTATGCGATATAATTATATTCAGTATGTGCATGTGCTCGTTTTTTTTTTATTTGTTATCTTACCGAAACATTCATTTGATTGATTAAATGTTGAAGATAATATAATATAATAAGTGTTTATTCAAAACACGCTATGATCACCGGAAGAAAAGAAAAAAAAACTAAACCTTGTTAGTCACTTAACTAAATGAAGGGTATATAGGTAGGTAACAGACTGTTCTGATGGATAGGATGATTCATTAGTCAGAGGATGTCATTGGTAAATAGACTAAGACCAATAAATAAATACTTCAGATGATAGCGCACTCGTCTAAATAAATAAATGATTCAGCAAGTTTCATGGATATTGGCGAGTATCCATGAAAATAATGAGCGAAAAGACGAATGTTTTCTATGAGAAATATCATGTAAAAATTCCATAGAACGGAAGAAATTCGTTTTTTTTTTCAAAAACTTTACAAACCATTGAAGCAAAAAAAAGAAGAAGAAAAATAAAAAAAACTTTTTATGATTGAGATGCGAAGGTGATCGTCTTGAGGCAACTTTGTAAAATGTTTCTGTTTTGCTCATTATATAAATAGTCTATGTGAATCTATTCTGTCTATACGATTCACTCAAGCGAATAATATACAATATATTATATATTTGTATGATCAATTATTTATTTTATTTCGAAAATTAAATTATTCATTAGAACAAATGTGATATTTAATTTCTTAAAATAATCTTTTACTAGGATAATCAATTGATTCAAGAGAAAAAAATATATATATATTACAATTAATTGAAATATTGATTTACAAAAATTTTCTTTATTAGAAAATCGAAAAAGAAAAAAACAAACTGATGTAATTTCATAATTATTCATTCATCAATTATATAGTAACTAGTATTCGTACCTATTTATTTTTTTTTTGTTGATTTCTCTAAATGAACAACTATTAAAGATATTCACAAGATGAATTGAATAGATGATTACAATAAGTAGCGCAGATAGTAAAAAAAACAAGTGTCATCATCAGAAATAAATGATATAGAATTTATTATGTAAAATTTTGTGTTTTAAAAGAACCAAAAATAAGAAATACAAATATAATTTTTCTATTATTTTTTATTCAAATTTACATTAGCTATTTATTAGATATCAAGCTTGAAATTAAATATTGATTGTAAGTTTAGAGATATTTTTCAAATGATTGCTTAGTTTGAATTAAATAATATAATAAGAATATTAAGAGAATAGAAGATTATTTAATGTCAATCAGTACGAACAATTTTACATGCATATTATTATTAAAAAACAAAAAACAACAATATGATACATTAAATAAATAATATAGATAAACAAAAGTAAATAGAAATTCTTGCACAAGAGTGAATCGATTGTAGATAATTTTAAAATGTATATCTTTTAAGATATTACAATTAATAGTATCTGAAAAATGAAAAAAATTCAAGTGTATTTTTTTTTTATTCCTCATTCATTTTTTTGTTGAGTTAGATATATAGTTTCTATTGAAATTTAATTGAAAATGTAGCATTAAACAAAAAAAAAGTTTATCAATTCATATATTTTTTAACAATCTATTTTTTTTGGTAGAAAACAATTTTTACTAAAATATAAATAAGTCTATAATACGTTTTTTTTTTGAAAATCTTATTATAAAACTATTCAAAATAATTTTGATTAAAATTTGATAAATTTAAATAAAAATTTTCAAACAAATAATAATCGAATACAAATTAAAAATTATACATTCTTGATTAATTTAAACTCAAAAAAAAATTCAGTCGAATTTTACATTGATTCTTATCGTTTCTTTTGTAATCAGTTTCAAATTAATAACAACAACTGGATTTCATTAACTGAAAATTGTGTATACACACTTCTATAATTTAATTTAGATTGTAGTTAACTATAAATTGATCTAAATTCTAAGACAACTAAGAATAAATGTAAATCAATAGCAATGTTTTTTTTTTATTAAGGTCTTTCGAACTAGTACACAACAAAAATAAAGCAAATTTTATTTTTCTTAATAAAACTAACAATTGATAAAAAAAAGAAAAATGTCATATTTTCAATTGTTTTATTTATTACTTATATTTGGATTAATAAATTATTCATATGAATTTAATATACGAATTGTTAATCATGAACGTTATATAAGAAATGCACCATTTAAAAATGATACACAAATATTATTAAATCAAATATTTAATGATGAACAACAATTAGATAATGTTATTCGAGAATCTATTCGAAAAAATGATGAAACAATTAAAATTTTAACACATAATATAATGTTAGCTGCTGATAGAATGGCTGAAGCTGGTTCAAAAGATACAAAAACAATTTCTGAATGGACATATATTCAAAGTGAACTTCGTAAAAGTATTAATTTAATTATTAATGCATATAAAAAATATATTGATTTACATCGACAAGTATGTGAAACAATTGAAAATTTTGCTAAAAATATGATTAGTAAATATGAAAGTGAACTATCTTCTATTGATCAAATGTCAGTACCTGATTCATCAAATGGTTCTATTGATACAAATAGTCCTGAATGGAATAAATTTGTTGCAAAATTTTTACATATACTTAATTATGCACGAGTACATCAAGAAACACTTCGTACAGCTACTGATTGTACTTCAGATTTAATGACACGTACATTATCTCATCAAGCAATGATTATGAATCAACCAGCTATTATTTCTCGTACATTAAATGTTCAAATAAATCATCCAATTAATCGTCAATATTCTGTAGAAAGTTTTTCTCTTCCTTGCAATAGTATTAATGAAGATAATGGTTATCAAATATGTTCAAATGCTATAGCTGATGCTACACAAACATATGCTAATTCAATTCTTGCATAATTTTTCTTTTTTTTTTAAACATAAATTATTATTTTATTTTAGAAATGAATATATATTGAACTAACTTTTATTTAAATATTATATTCATTTAAATAAATATGTTTAACTTAAAAAACAAAAAAAAATAGAATTTAGAAAATCAAGTATTTCAATTTCAATTTATATAATTTTAATTAGTTTTAAGAGATTAATTTGTAGCTGTTACTTCAGATACCATAGTCCACCATCCAGGAAATAATTCATCACGAATAAAATTAAATTTAATATATCGAGTTAAACTTATATTATTAGTATTTATAAATAAACGTTGAGCATCTAATATACGTTCACCTATTTGCATTTGTCCTTGTTCACCAAATAAATTCCATTTTAAACCATCTAAACTTATACTAACTTCTACTAATCTTGGTGGACTTATAGACCAATCTGGTTTAATTAATGTCCAAATAGATGTTTCACGAATATTTCTATTCATTAATAAATCAATAGTAATTGTATATGATTCATTTTTTAACCATCCTGTTATTGATCCTATCATACCAGCTATAACTCCATCAGTAAGACGAATACCATCATCAAGATAATTATTAACATTAGATAATGTTTTTGAAGTTGGTGGTGTAAGAAAATAATAATTAATTAAATTTGAAATATCACGTCCATTAACAAATGCTTGTATTTCATCAATCATAAACCAAGAATTTGGTTGAAATTCAAGTGTTGCCCAACGAAGAGAATTTGAAAATGTAAATGATAATATACCACCTTGATTCATATCTGTACCACCAGTTATAATACGATCTGTACATGGATAACTATTTACAATACAATCCGATGAACTATATGGTGATAATGGTATACAATCAGTACTAATAAGTAGACGAGCTGTATTAGGCCAATGAACAGCTTCATATGAACTACTATGTGAACGAATTAAAATTTGATCTATATATATTATATCACCAAAATCAAGTGCAATACGTATATATGAATGAAAATAGGAATTATCTAACCAACCAATAGACATTGATGAATGCCATTCATCATTTGACCATTGTCTATCAGTAAGTAAACCACGACTAAAATTTGAAATTGTTTCATTTATAATATCACCATATTGAGGATTATAAAAAAACATTGAAGGTGATATATGATATCGAGCACCTGTACTTATTTGAAGTGCAATACCATTTGATATTTGTTCAATAATAAGATCTTCATCAGTAAGTGAAAGTAAAAAATTTGAATTAATAAATGAAATTCGAATTGTTAAAATTTTTTCTAATGATAATAATGAAAATGGTAATAATGTACTTGTCCAATCTTCATCACGCCAATTTTTTTCACCTATTTCAATACTACTTAATAATTTCCATATAGAATTATTATTATTTATTATTATAAATCCATCTACTATTATTCGACCAAACCAATATTTATGTTTTAATGACCAATTAATTCGAATAGCTTTTGGTATTATATTTGATGATATATTAATTATTGCTTGAAGATTTTCATTTATTATCCAAAACCATTTTGTATTTAAAACATATGTTGGTTCAATTCGATGATCAGATGTATAATTTCGAATAAGATTACATGCTTTTTTTGATTGAGCTATACTATCATAATTACCAAGAAAATAAGTAGTTGGTACATATTGATAACCATCAATATAACCTTGTGCTAAATAATTTTGTAAAATTTCAATGTCATATTCTGTATTAGCTCCTTGATTTATTTCAATTTCAACACCTAAACCATATTTTTGAGCAAGTTTAGCTGTTGAATGTAATCGTCCAGCATGAAATGTTCCTTGCATTAATGGAGATGAAAATGCATAACCAGGTTGTAAAATAGCAATATCAATACCTAAATTTATCCAATTATTCCAATTAATTGCATTTGTATATGGTATCCAAAGTAAACGTAATTGTTTTTTATGAATAATATGACTTATTTCTAATATTATTTGTTCATTTATACCATAATTAATATCTTCACGCATAAGATACAAACCCCAAAAATGTAACATATCATATTGTTTTATTTTTTCTTTAATTGTATCAATATACCATTGAATAATTTGTTGACGATGATTTTGAATAGATAAATTTAATGTTAATGAAAAATTTTGTTGTCCTATTGAATCTATATATGGTAACATAATAATAATTTGTAATTTTTTATTTGATATATTTAATTGTTTTAATGCTTTAGTTAAATTTGATAGAATACCATATGAATTAAAAAGTTTTATTTCAAGCAAACCATATCCAATCTTGTTCATTTGTTGAATATGTTGTTAAAGAATTTGATGATGTTTTTTCAACAAGAATTGTTATTGTATCAAAAATAATATTATAAGAATCAATTGTTTCATATGAACCTGTTAGCCATAACATTAATTTTTCAGGTGAATGATTTCCATCAATATAAAGTAATGCATTATGATGAAAACCAGCTTGAGTAATAGTTGGATAGCCAAAATCTTTTCCATGTACTATATTATTATAGAATATTATTATAATAATAAAAATTGTACTGATAAGATACATAATGATCGTCAAATTTTTTATCAAATCGATTTGATTGAAATTAATTATTTTGATAATAAAAGAATTGTATATTCATTTTTACTTGCATTTTTTTGTTATTTTATCATTGAAAGAAATATGATACACAAAGCTTATCAGCCTAATCATGAAATACTTTAATTATATGATATGAGTCTGAAATGATTTTTATTTTCTTTCAAAACTATTATTGTCATTTGTAGAATATACTATAAAATATTTAGAATAGAACTAAAATATTGTTCATATTGCTAAGAGTTTTTTGACAAGCAAATTTCGAATACATTCTTGACATCTTTCTAGTTTAGAAGAAGTCAATCGTTATATTAAAGCGAAATTTAGTTTTGATAAAGAAGAATCAATATTGGACTGGTAGAACACAAAATGGTCTATTGGGAATTCAGTCACAAATAAACGGCGACATTGCTAATGATATGAAAGTCTACAGGATATAAAATAGAGTACAAAAAAGCAGGGGCGGCGCGAGCGGGGGGCGTGGGGGAGGGTACCCCCTTTCGTTTTTTTTGCTCAACAATACCTCAAAATTTGATTTTTTTTCACATTTTCTCCCATTTTTCGAAAGTACCCCCTCCCCTGCTTTGACCTCTTCGCGCCGCCCCTGCAAAAAAGTTTCACTCTGCACATCTCTATTTGAAAATTGACTAATTCTTTTAAAGCTCGATCTCCTTTTCATTTAATCTTATTCATATTCTCTATATTATGCCCATTGTATTTTCCTCTTGATTAAAACTAATGTATATTGAATTTACTTTCGGATTCGTTTTATTAACTTTACAACAATATCTATATGTTGCTTGATTTATTATATGATGAAATCAATCATAACTTTTTGATGAAATTACGAATTCAAAAAAAAAAACAGTTCACTACGTTTTGACCTTTGAAAATATACGAAGAAACGTAGTTCATTTGTATCTGAATTATTAGAGCCGCTACTATTTATATATAACTATTTGTCTTTTACGTTTTTAAAATTTTACATAATTTCATTGCAATAACATTGATAAACTAAGGGTTAATTAAAAATAAAGATTATTTAAATCCATTTTTATGACGATACATCTTAAATTTTCTTTTTGCGAGAAAAAATCATTGATCTAATTAGAATGTTTTGATATATATTTATTGATCATAAGAAAGAATTTTTATTAAAAAGTTTTAAAATTGATTCGAAATCTAAATAACAAAAAAAAAAAAAAGAAGAAGGACATGTTGTGTACTAATCAATAGACATCTGTTTTCTATTAAAAATATTTAAAGAAAAATTTCTATTTCAATCATTAATGAATAACATATTTCATATTTTATTCTTGAATTTTCTTAATTTAATAATAATAATCCAATTCTTATATGTCTTATGTCTGAAAAAAACAATCAAATTCTAATCAAGAAATAACATCTGTTAAATATTTGAAAATATTTTATTTATTAAAATAAGAATATTCTTAATGAAAAGAAAAGAAAAGCCTTCGACATTGTCAAGTATATAAACTCAATGAAATCTATAGTTTATCACATCATTTACAATCACCATGCATTGTTTCGTATCAACTATTTCAATCATCGTTTTATTTGGTTTGATTATTCAAGGTTTTGGTAAGTTAATATTATATAAAAATTTTCAAAAAACAAAAAAGAAATTATTTCTATATATAAATAGATGCATGGAAACATCAATCATCATCAAATAATGGTCAAAAACGAATAGAAAAACGTCTTTATAAACGACAATTATCTCCATTGATTCCAGCTTATTCAACAAATAGTTTACCAGCATGTGATTATTCTGTATTACGTACATGTGATGCTGTTGCTAATAGTATAACACAAAGTGGTGTACAACTTCAACAAACAATGACTGCTATTCAACAACGTAAATTATATGTTGGTAATAGTGTTTCATTATCAGCATTACAAAATGGTGGCATGTGTGTACCAAATACAAATTTATTAACGGCTAATGCATATTCAGCTATTGATTTAGGTCATATAACACTTCCACAACTTGCAGCCGTTAATATATTTCCAGTACCATCAATTGATACAAATACATTAATTAGTGCTGGTTATATTAATACAGTTGGTCAAACAAATTTACTTACAGCATTAGGTTTACAAGCAAGTATATCTGGTCATATATTACCATCACAACTTTTATCATTAAGTTTATATCCATTACAAACAACATCACTTTCATTAGATGTACTTGTACAAGCTGGTTATTTAACAAATGATTGTATACCAACAGCACTTGCTATATCAGCATTACATATTCATTATTTATCAATGAATAATTTTGCTTCACTTGGTTGTCAATCAACTGATTATTCACAAGTATCTCTTACACAATTATCTGATGCTAAATATGTATATGGTACATCAAATGTTTTAACACCAGTTGGTTTAGCTGCACTTCGAACAGGTATATTTTCACGTGAAACTTATCAAAAAATTGGTATTTTTCCATTTGGTTATGGTATTCAAACACAATCAACTGAATATGTTTATCAAGAACAACAACAAACACAAACATCAGTTGTTGTTAATGATCTTGTACATGTTGGTTATTTACAATCAAATAGTTATTTATTAACTGGTGCTGCTTATTATGGTATAACACGTGGTTATTTTACAATTGAAAATTTTCGTGATTTAAATTTATGGCCATTTAGTGGTACACCATCAATGAATATGTTTGTTTCAGCTGGTTATGCAACATATAGTGGTCATTTAACACAACTTGGTTATTCATTATTACATGCACAATATTTTCCATCAGAATGGCTTCCAAGACTTGGTATTCATATACATGATGATTTTCGTATATTTCATCAAGCTTTACGTTTTGGTGGTTATTTTCGATCGGATTATAATGTTGCACATAGTTCAATTCATAGTACATCTATTAATACAAATGTTGAAACAGCACAAGTAAAATATTGATAAATATATATTTTAAAAAAATTTTAAAAATTTGTATGTTTAGATTGGTGCATTTCGATCAGCAGCTGGTGTAGGTGTTGCAAATTCTATTGATAATGGAAATGTTGTCTATGCTCATAAATAAGCGTATTTTAATTATAATTCAGTATTATATTTTATACACATTAATAATGTGTTTCTTTTTTTTCTTCTTTTTGATTGAATAAAACGATGGGATAGTTAAAAATAAAAGAAAAAGAATTTATTCAGTTTTTTTTTATCATAAAACATATGAAATATAATCAATAAAATCATTTTGAAAGATATTAGCTGAATTTAAAAAGCAATATATTATAAGAATTTATCAAATATTCGATAGTAATTTTTTATTGTATATCTACGCGATAAATCAATGATGGATTTTATGAGGAAGACGTTAAAAACAATCACAGTCGCTCAAAATATTTTTATATAAGAATTGCCTTTAAAATGAGTTGATACTATTTCTAATACACTTCAAAACACTCAGTTATTGCTACTGAAATTAATGCATACAATTACAATAGAAACAAAATATAAGTATTTAGAATTGCATAATTTTTAATGATTCATCGATTATGTTTAATCGCTTAGATTATTGCATTGTAAAATTTGTAAATTTCCAAGTGTGAAAAAAATTTACTTTTGTGAATATTTGTGCCATCGGTTGTAAATCGTTTTGATAATGATTGAATAACGTTTAACAAGGAAAAGTAATATTGCAAAGCACAAGTAAACGTTCTTGCCTTCTTGTATTGCAATGTTAAAGAAAAGAAGAAGGAAAAAAAAAAGAATAATTACATTATCTGAAAATTGCTTCTATATCATTTTAGTATGAGGATTGCGCAAATACAAGTACAAATAGTACTTTGCGAAAAATATGGGCACTATTGACCAAAAATATCTCCTTCATTCTGATAGCTAGATATGCGAACTTGTTAGAGTATGTACTACCTTAAAAATGTAGATTATTGAGATTGGCACGGCCTCGTTTGCTTAAGTAGACGAACCTATCATTGTGCAGCTCGTTAACTCATTCAAATACAAAAAACTCGTTTATTTGCACGAAATTTTCGGGGAACTCATGTTTACTTGCAAAATTTTTTGTAAAGTTGTCGTACATTCGGCATAAAAATGCAAACTATTTCAACTATTTGTAACTGTTACACATAAATACAAAACAATAGTACACGTATACATGTACATGTCACAAAAATATGCATGGAAATACAATTTTTTAGTTATTAAACATCACATCCGAGGCTGTACACACTCTTATGCTTACAAATTGTGGAGTGCAACACTCTTCTGTATTTATGCAAGATATAAGACTTGCATGTGAATGCCGAAGTGTTATCAGCTTGTATCTACAAAATAACTAGAATTTTTATTAAGTTTGTACGTTAATACAGAAACATTGTATTCAACAAAAATTATTATCAGAGCGATTCTACATTGGCATGGAAATTTCTACCATTTTGTAATGTGAATACTGCTCAGGCTATATTGACTCAAGAAGTTTATTCAATTTTTTGAATTCTTCTATAGTGATTAGTATTCATATTCATACACGCTTACTAGTTATTAGATAATCATTATATTCGTCTGTTTTAATTGCACTTCCAATGTAAGTAAATGGTAGAATTGTGTACCAGTTCGTTTTATAAAGTAAAGAATATATGTTTGAATCTTATCTTCCAGCATAAAAAAACTCCTATGATGTGTTCATACATATTTATCATATATACTTCATTTATACAGTTTATTCTGTGATGCGTTTCCCCACATGCTATGTGACAGTGATTCCACGCATTTTAGAAAAATAATTTTTGAGATAAACTATAAACATGTAGCCTGAATTGCCTTGCAAACCTTGATCAATATCTTATGTCCCTGATAAAGTTCGATTATTGAGAGAAGTTATTGATTTCTATTAGACCAATTTTCGTAACAAACAATATTATTAAGTAATGAAAAACCATGATCAAAATTAAATCTATAAAATAGTTTAACTCATTATCACATGTTGACAATGGCTTCTAAAGTTTCTTCTAGATAAAATTACGTTTAACATGTCGGCTTTAATATAAATACAAAAAAAGCCTTTTTTCTTTCTCATATCAATATCAATAACAACAAAATTTTCTCGACTTTTATAACGAAAATTGACGTGAGACAAAAATAAATTAATTTTTGTGAGTAAGCCAGTTGTAGTTTTCTTTACACAGTAAAATTCGTAATTAGATCAATAACACAAAGATAAAATTACTGGCAACACGTTTTCTATTTTGAAATAAAAGTGAGGCCATGCTAAATATATACATATCAAATATGATATTTATATATGTGAAATAATATTTTTTTTTTTAAAACAAAACTAAGTAATTACGTAGTATTTGATTTTTTTTTCTTCTCCATAGACGAATAACAACAACAAGACATTTGATGAGTAATTTTTCTTCAAATTACTTATGTTGAATAACAACAAAAATCAAGAACAACATCAAATAGAAGTGATTTGATAGTTCTTTAGTTGATTTATCGTAATTGAATATGTGTTATTATAAAAGAAGACAAAAAAAAAAGAAATAGCTTTTATTATATTTCAATATTTTTATTCTAAAATAAAAGAACTTTATTTCTTTTCTAATCTTTAAATTTTAGCATTTGAAAATGAGATCATTTCTATACGATTGTGTTTTAATTATTTCAATATCATTAACAATTGCTAGTAAGATTTTTATTTAATTATTTTCTATCTATTATCAACTATAAAAATCTAGTTCAATTGGATGGTGATTGTACAAGTGATACACAATGTGAAGGATCTAATATTGTTTGTCGAGATAGAAAATGTCAATGTAATTATCCAGCATATACACCATGTAAATCAACATGTGGTAAATAATTTTAATCAAAAAAAAAAAAAAAAAAATGAATAAAAATTTTAATTTATTCTTCTATTAGAAATAAATCGTCGTTATGCATATGAAGGAGAAAATTGTGAAGTAAACGAAAATTGTATAGACAATGCAATTTGTTCGGAAAAAAAATGTACATGCAGACCAGATTTTCCAGCTAGAAATGGACTTTGTTGTATGTTGTTCTTTTGTTTTTTGATTGATGATTTTTGAAGACAAAAAAAACAAAACAAGAATCATTATTTGTTTCAGTGAAAAATTTGAATGTTGTTTGTACAAATCCTACAGAATGTTGGTCACAATATTGTTTGAATTCACGATGTCAATGTGCACCTGGTTATGAGCCTTCTAGCAATCAAATAGATTGTAGTATGTATTTATTTCTAAATTAATTTTGTGAAATGCTACATAAAAAAAAACGCATGTTGAGGGTATAGAAATAAAAATTTGAATCTCTTTCTCTATAGAATTATGATTGATATTTGAAAATAAATAGAATAAAACAATTTTCATATGATTAATAATAGCAACTACATAGTTTAAATTGTATTAATTTAATATTTATTTATTTTTGTAGAACGAAAATTAGTTAACATTTTTAATACTTGGTCTGATGCAAATGTACAAGGAGCAATTTGTTATGATGATAATTCATGTATTGATATTATTGCAAACTGTATTCCTATTTCACCAAATTCAACAAATAAATTTTGTAGATGTCCAATTGGATATAATGTTATAGATAATAATACACGATGTGGTAAATAATTTCAAAAGATTTCTGTTTTTCTTAAATCTAATTTTTTTTTCTTCATTTGAATAGAACCAATTCGTAGTACATTATTATCACCATTAGATTCATTAATATCTAATTATAGTACATGTGGTGTATGTGAAGATATTAATGCATTATGTATAAAAGCTGCTGATCAAATAACATGTTGGTGTCGTTTTGGTTATATTAAACAAAATAATCAATGTGGTATGTAGATAATAAAGAATATATTTATATTGAAAAAAATATTTTTGAAATTTAAGTACGAGAACAAAATAGAAAACCTTTGATTATATATCCAAATTCAATTGATCTTAATTTACATAATTTTGCAGATGGTTGTACAAATGAAAATAATGATACAAATGAAATTAATAATAATTTATGTGTATGTGCTTCAGGTTATGAATTTGTTACTAGATATCAATCATGTGGTAATTATATTTTAAAGAAAATTCTTTTTATAGACTTAAAAAAAAAAGCAATTTTTGTGTACTCAAAAAGTGAGCACACTCTAGAATCGGTCAGTGTGTCCGGCCGTCCGTTTACATGATAACTCTTCACAATTACGTTCGATTAAGCTGAAATTTTGTGCACAGAATTGTCTCATCAATATCTCGGTCGAGTTCGAAGATGAGAAGGATCTGTCAAGAAATGGCTGAGTTATCGAAAAAATTGTCATTATTGGCCAGACCATCCCTGAGGGGGGGTACAGGGATTTTTTCAAAAAAAAAACATTTTTCTCAGAATTATTCACAATATATTTAAATCGACTCAGTTTTTAACGCTGATTCCGAATCTGATATTAGTTTTGAACCAAATCGTAGTTTTCTAACAAAACATCGCCTGAAAAAGGACTCAAAATGCACAAAAACTGCATCCAGAAAACAAATTGCCTAGATATATCTCAGATGATAAAAAACAAAGTGAATATACCTGTTCACTTTTTGAAGTACACATAACACTCGGATTTAAATCCGAGATTTTCGCATTTATTTCTTTTTAGTTAAGATTCAACGTAATTGGCAAGATGATATCTATGAATATGGTCTTTGTACTCGTATTAATCCTCAAGAACTAGCGATAGGTGTTAATGGTTTATGTCCTGAACCATTAATATGTGAAGAACGAAGAGATAAACATATTTGTTCATGTGGTAAAGACAAATTTCGAGATTTAGATGATCCAAGTCAATGTGGTAAGAAAATATTTGTTTATCTAAAGTAGAACTATGAATGGATTAGGCAACATCTGATATGATTTGATATATATTGATTAAAATTATTTCGTATCAAAAAATAATCTTTCTTATTTCATAAAAATACAATTTATTCATGAATAAATAGAACAAGATGACAATTTCGAAATTAATCTCGTTTTTTGCTTTATTGTAAACCATTATGAGCTATGCTAAATTTAGCTTAACCCATTCTAAACTCTAATCGTCAGATATTATTGAATCTATATATTATGCTTATAAAAAATTATATAAGTTCAATAAACGAATTTTTCGAAAAAAAATAAATTTTACTATAAATAACATTTGAATTGAAAACAATAATAATCTCTGGCTTTTTTTTTCTTTTCTAATAGACTGTTTCGATTTGATTTTTATAATTTAAGAATTTATTTATTTTTTCATAGTATATTATATTGGTAAGACAACAAATTCAACTAATGACAAATGTCCAACAAAAAATGCTATACGAAATACTACAAATGGTATATGTCAATGTCTTACAGGATATAAAGCAATTAATAATAATCGTCAATGTGGTTAGTAATCTTCTCTATTCAATATATATATATATATTATTGAATAAAAAAAAAAAATTTTTTTAGAAATAAAATTATCATCTTCAAATCTTGCATCATCATGCAATGCAAGTCAATTAGATAATACAATATGTCAAAATTTATTTGGTATATCTGCAGCATTTTGTACTATTGGTGAATGTTATTGTGCAGGAAATCAAAGTTTACCAAATAATGCTCAAACTCGTTGCTGTAAATCAACAATATATTATTTAAAAAAAAAGAAAAATTTTAATATTATTTCTTTATTTCAATAGATGCACGATTAAATCGTTCTCTTATTTCACCTATTGAAAGGTGTCCACCAGAATCCGTTCTAAAAGATAATCATTGTGAATGTCTAGTTGGTTATCGTCCATCGAATGATTTTCGAGAATGTGGTATGAAAAAAATAAAAATATTTCATATGAATCTTTTTAGTATTTCTTTTTAGTTCGTTTACAATTACAATTAGTTGAATATTTAGGACCTTTAACAAATGCAACTGGTCAATTGACTATAGAAGATTGTCGAGCTTTATTTACAGGACCTGTTGAATTCCATACAACTGGCCGTTGTCAATGTACATCTATAGCATTTAGAAATGATAATAATACTGGATGTTGTAAGTATAGTATTAAATAAATTTAATATTGTTATTGTTTTAATCTAGGGTATCTACTTAATGTTATATTGCCAAACGCAAGAGAATCTCTATTCTGTCCCCCAAATAGTGTTACTGGACTATCACAAATGTGTGAATGTACTATTGGTTATACAAGAAATAATAATAAATGTGGTAAGTTATGATCGATTAGTCGAATTTGTTAATAAAAAATTAGAGATTATTATACGTATGAAAATATTTTTGAAAAAAATACAATATTCACAACTTATCTTCAAGAAATTTCATTCATTCTACAAAAAAAAAAAAAAGTTCTTAAAATGTAAAACATAATAAATTTGTATAAAATTTTCTATAAGCATAATTAAATTCATCGTATAATGATTATTGTTCACTGAAGATAGGTTATGAATATCTTATTTTATACAAAAAAATGTTTCTTCAATCCGATGAACTTATTTCTCAACTGTATTTGATAGAATTCAGAAAACTAGTTTTGAAATACCTTAGTTTTCTAGATATTTTATATAAATAAGAAATAAATTTATTTTTTAAGTGCCTAAAACGAATCAACTCTACATTGATAATGATCCTATGGCACCAAATATAACCAGTTTAACTCTAGTTGATTGTATAAAATTGTTCGGCACTGGTTCAACAATATCAAACTATGGAAGTTATTGTATTTGTAAACCTTATGCATTTGCTATTAATAGCAATTCACATTGTCGTAAGAGAATTGATAATTTCAATCAATAATTAATTAGTATTATATATTGTTTTTATTATTAATAGATTTTCTAATTAATCAAAATAGTAGTGATCTTAAAGGTTCTAACGATTGTCCAGCAAATGCATTTGTCTCTCCACAGGTATGAATTTTAATTATTCCTTATTCATATTATACATAAGATATTCAAATAGAGCCCACCATCGGCATGTGTCTGTAATCTAGGTTATCATGTGTCATCTGATAATCGAACATGCAGTAAATAAAATATAACTATTCAAATGACGATATAATTTTATGTATTTTATTTTGTATAGGAACAGCCGATATTGCTTTGATTGGTACTGCTAATGTTGATTCATCTTCGACAACGAATTGTATCATTTTTACAAATGATGATTGTATTGCTAAATTTGGAGGACAGGCTTTTTGTCAAAATGAAACATGTTTTTGTAATCGTCGTTCCAGTTTTAGTAATTCAATGGGTCGATGTGGTAAAAACATACTTTTAAAATTAAAAATATTTTTTGAATAAAGTCTTATCTTAATGAGTAGAGTAGAAATTTTTTACAAACTCAAAATTCTCAAATGTTTCCTTCTAGAATATATCAAGATTATAAAAGCTAAAAATAACCTTCAAAACTGCTCGATTATTTCTCATATGTAATATTTTTGATAGAGTCACTCATTTTTCAAATATAACAAAAAATCCCACGTAAATTACGAGGTTTTTTCAAGTAAAATGTTTCATTTTTAATATTTCAAAGAAGATAGAATCTCTTTAAAATAATTACCAACGACTTTGTTTTGAAATATTTTAATTTTTCTCTATATATAAAATTTTATTTTAGAATCATTTTCAAACTATATATTTCCTGGTATACATGAACGTCATTCATATTCTTGTAATACAGAAGCAGATTGTAATAATCAAGTAAATGTAATATGTGATTATTTAAATGATGATTCTCAATATAAAGTATGTCAATGTAAAAATGGAACATTATTAGAACCAAGATCACAAACATGCAGTAAAAAAAATTTTTTTTCTAATAGAAAAATATATTTATATATTTAGTTGCAAATCGATGTCCAAGAAATTGTCAAACAAATTTGAATTTTGTATGTCGTAATTATGAATGTGTATGTAGAGATGGATATTATCAAATTGGTTCTCAATGTGGTAAATAATGATATATTAATACTATTCAATAGTTTATTTTTTTTTGTCCTACAGTTAGAATTCCATATCAACTTCAATTAAATCGACCATGTAATCAATCAGTTCTATGGCAATATGTTCTTAATACTGCTAATAATTCACTTGAATGTGATGCAGTATGTGATCGTGCTCGATGTCAATTTGGTTATCGAGTTGAACAATCTCGATGTGGTAAAATTATTTCATTTATTAATGATATAATTTTATAATATATACAAACGTTAAACTGAACATTTTTTTTTGTTTTTGTTTTTTCAGTTCCTTATCAATGGGAAAATACAAAATGTGTATATAATGAAAATATTTGTCAAACTATTGATGAAAATTCAATATGTAATAGAAATGAAAATAGATGTTCATGTCGATCAACATATTATTTTAATAATAATAGATGTGGTAAATATAATTATATTAGTTTGATTATTATTATTATTATTTTAATTTATATAGTTCCAGCATTTGGTTCAATATGTCGAAATAGTGAAGAATGTGGTTCGGATATGATATGTAATAACTATCGATGTATATGTAAAGGTAGACAAGAAATACAAGAAATATGTGACATAGATGGTCGACCAATAAAACGTTGTTTTAATGGTAAAATATTATTTTTTTTAATGTTATATTTATTTTGATGAAATTATTTTTTTATATATTATAGGTATTGATCAAATACGATATAGTTCGATTTTATTATTATTTTTTATAATGATTCAAATACTTTTCATCTAAAATGATTTGATTTAAAATATTAAAAAAAAAAACATTATTATTTATTTTATCGTTGCATAATAGAATTTTAAATATGATAAATATTGAAACAAATCAATATATTGAAAATTCTTTTCAAATTTTTTTTGCTTTTATTGTATTGTGTCTGTAAAAGTATTTTGTGTTTTTGTCGTAATCAAAAAAAAGAACAAAGATTATTTTCTTTTCATGATGAATTTCGAATAAATAATATATACATATGTATTTAAATAAATACATAATTCTTTAATGAAATAAAATAGTGCAAATTACACAAAGTATTTATCAACAGAAAATAGTCATTTGATGAAACTAGATGAGTATAAATTCGAATTTGAAATAGATTTAATATCGTTTTTTGTCTTGATTTTGATAAAAACATCGAAAATTAAAACATAATTACTAAAATAGATTGCAGTTGATTTATTTTCACACAAAAATCAAAATTATATGTCTAAACTCATTGAAGTATTTATACCAAATCTTCATACAGATTAAGTGAAATATCGAGAGAATTAGAAATACAAATCTTACGACAATCTTTTTGAAAATCAAAATCCGAGAAAGAATACTTGTCGATCCATAATGAGATTTTGAAAAAAATTGTTGACATTCAATAACTTTGGATCAAAACTTTTTTTTTGCTTGTATATTATTCAATTTTAATTGATTTCTAAATGATTCTCAATTTTTTAGAATTGATATTATTGTGTCTCTAAGAAGAACTTTTGATATCTGTGATACAAATTTTTGCTTCAAATTCATCAATAAAATCTCTAAAGTTGATAATTATTTTGAAAAGCAGCAGCATTTATTTCTTGTTCGTACATATTAACTATTTCTATTCGATAATCTAAAAAATTTTTATATATTGAGTTTTCTTAATTTTGATTTCCTGATCTATGCATATCCAGTTACAGTAATACTATAGTAAAATACTTTTCAAGGAGATCCAGTTTCTTTTGTCTGTTTTTTAGGTAGATTTCTTACTCTAGTTTTAGTAGACTCAAGATATAATACGATAGTAAATGTCAACAATTGAAAATTATTTTAATGAAATTGAAAATAATAGGCTATCGCAAAAGTAATTTGACAAAATGTTCATTTATTGCTTTTTTTAAGTTCTAAATGAGTTTGATGAATTTTAAAAACATTCGCGTTTTTATAGGTATTTCTGGCTTGAAAATTATGAGTTGACTGTTTCGAAACTCGGCAATTGAATTTAGATCAATTTGAGTGCGCCAAATCTTACTCGAAGCGTTAGCGGGAATTATTTCAATGTGCAGCAAATGCAAGATTAGACATTGCTCTATAAAATGGTATACTAATGATTAGATTGTTATTATTCATTTGTCCATAGTGAGTATTTTGATATTTGATTTTTCTAAAATTCTTCACTTCGAAAGGAACTATCTCGTCTTTAATGCTATGTAAAAAATAATTGGTAAAACTTAATTTTCATATCTCTACAAATTCCAATTATAACTTCTTAATCATAAGTCTTAGAAATATGTTAAATCTCTATCGGGAAACAATACAAAATTTTGATTCAATATGACAAATTACGGTCGAAGATTTGACTTGATAACCAGTTCTTTTGAAAAGAACTGAATTGTTTAAACAGACCAGTTCTAGATGTGTAAGAGTGCTCACTTTTATAAATCTATCCTGTTTTGAAGGTTGTATATAGAGTGGCTAGTTCTTGTTCTTGATAGCTGCAACAGTTACTGAATAGAGTTGCTAAATTATCATTGCCAATAAATAAACTGTATATCAAAAGAACTAATTAGTTGCTTTGATTTTAATAATAATCTACTAAATATACCACTTGATATATTAGTAAATATATAATCAATATTGTTCTCGGAGAAAATTTCTGTAGATTTATGATTATTTATTATTTATAGTATTTAACAAATTTTCAAAAATTTCATACAAAATTAATTTTTGTCTTATTTATTTCGACATGATTAATTATTGTTTTCTTTTCTTATGATAAAATATTTTCTTCTAGTTCAAATTTTACTTTGTCATTTTTGCAACTATTCAATTGAATAAATAACTAATGTTTTATTGGATTTTCACAATGAGGTCCTTCGAATGTTGGTGGACATATACATTCACGTTTTGCAACATTATTACTACATGATCCACCATTCAAACATCTATAATTACCTGAACATCGTCCTATAAAATATAATATTATAAAAAATGAAATTTTTGTTATTTGATATTTTACTTTCAGAACAATCAACACCTGACCATTCACTTCGAAGGCCACATAAGCAAGTTGTTCCACCAATACAAACACCACCATTAAAACAATAACCACTTTTAACACCAGAACAGCTCACTATAATTAAAATTTAAGAAAGAAAACAAGAAAAAAAAAGAGTATATTACTTATTGAACAATCACTTCCATTAATTCCAGATGGACAAGATGAACAAATACCTCGTAATCCATCAATACATACAGCTCCGTTATAACATCGACCTGGTTCTAGACCACATCGAACACCTCTACAATCAGCTCCATAACCATCATTGAGACAATCACATCCTTTAAATGTGCATACATTTGGATTATAATCAACTTGATTATAACATGCAATTTCTGGTTCTGTACATCGCATAGCTGAACAATCAATTCCTGTCCATTGAGGTTGACATGAACATGTATAATCACCTGTGATTGGTGAATGTACACAATGTCCTTCATGTGCACATACTAAATTTGTTGAAGCATTATCACCACACATATGTAACATACAATATGGACCTGTCCATCCATGTGTACAATTACATGTCCATTCACTTTCAGAATTTTCTACACAAATACCATCATTTTGACAAACTATACTATTAGTTGTACCAGCACCACAAATATCTATCAAATAAAAATTTATATATTTTATCTTTGAAAGTTTATACTTACTGCCACGACAATCATCACTAGTAAGTGGTGGCGGACAAATACATGTTCCAGTTGTTTCATTACAATGACCACCATTAAAACAAGCATTACCTTCAGAACCACATATAACAGCTGAACAATCATGACCAGTAAAACCCGATGAACATATACATATCGGTGTCATATGATCAATAGTAGTTAAGGAACAAACACCACTATTCAAACAAACTAATCCATTCGTACCACATATTTCTATTTCAATAGTATTCATAAAATAAGAGAAAACAAAAAAAGAATAATATCATTTAACTAACGTTCTTCACATGTTGGACCAGACCATGGATATTTACATTGACAAATAAAAGTTGAATTTGAAATTGATACACATAATCCATCATTATGACAAATAGGTCCATAAGGTCCACATGATCCTAGACCGATCAATATACATATATATATATATCGAAATCAATTTAATTTAATTTCCTTTTCTTACTTGCTCGACAATCAATACCTTGCCAACCATTTACACATACACAACCATCTTTTCCTTTTCCATCATCATCACAATAACCACCATTATAACATAAGGCATGTTGACATGGTGCTATATTTATTTACATAAATCAAATACTTCTCATCTATAGTAAAAAAAAAAAGAACAATTATACTCGCTGAACAATCAGCACCTGCCCATTGTCCAGTACATTGACATGTATAATTATCATTTTTATCTTTTTCACAAATAGCATCATTATAACAAATAGGTCCATGTTCAGAACATTTTTCACCTGAACAATCTGAATGTGTATAATTGTCTGGACAAAGACATATCATTTCTCTAGTCTTTTCATCCATTATACATTCTCCACCATTATAACAAAATCCAGATCCACATGGAACTACATACCAAACAAATATTGATACAAATATATAAACTTTTTTTGTTTTCCAGATTGAATCTACTTACGTCCACGACAATTAACTCCTCCATAACCAGGTGGACAAGTACAAGATTGACCATCAATACATTCACCACCATTATAACATGTAACTGCACTATGACTACACATTACTTGTGAACAATCAATACCTGTATATGGATCTGAACAAATACATTGTGTTTCAGTATCATGTCCTACAGATGGACAACCACCATTATAACAAAATAAATTTGAATATCCTGCACATTGTACTATAATAAAAAAATAAATATGTACAATTAATTACATATATATTCTACAGTTATATACTAGCTCTACAATCAGATCCACCATATCCAACTAAACAAGAACATGTTAATGTTGTTTCATCACAAGTACCACCATTATAACAAGCTAATCCTTTATTTCCACATGTAACTATTATAAAATAAAATAATGACATTCTATTTCGAATTAAAATAATTTTTAATTTATTTATTTATTTACTTCCAGAACAATCTTTTCCTTTAGCATGTCCTGGACATTGACATACGGGTGCACTATTACTAGTAGGACATGTTGCTGAATAACAAATAAGATCAGTAAATCCAGCACATTTTCCTCAAATAAAGAAAAACAAAAATGTTTCGATATAAAATTTATTTCTTTATATCTTACGACCATTACAAGTAACACCAGTCCATCCATATAAACATTGACAATGTTTTTCATCAACACAATAACCTCCATTATGACAAATTAAACCTGATTTTCCACAAGTTTCTTAATAATAAAAATCATAGAATTATTTTCTTTTATCTAGAAAAAAGAAAAAAACAATTACTTCGAGAACAATCAGAACCATTTATTGAATGTGATCGACATTTACATCCATTTGTTGTACAAATACCATTATTTGTATAACATAAATCACCATTTGAACAAATTTCTACAAAAGTAATATATATACATATATATATATATAAATGAAATTTTTGTCTATAATTAACTTGTTAAACAACCCGTTCCACTATCTTGATAACCAGATCGACAATTACATGTATCCGATTCATTATTACAAGTAGCACCATTAAAACAAATTAAACTAACTGATGTTCCTTTACTACATTTGACTATATAAAATAATAGAAAAACAATAAAATAATTAAGATTTTGTTTTATTATTATAATCATACCACCACTACAATCTGTACCACCCGATCGAGGTAAACATTGACAATGTTTTTTATGTTTACATTTGCCTCCTGTTTGAGAACACCAACTATGACCACATCGTGCTTAAAATAATATAATATATATTAATAAAAATTTAAATAATTAAAAAATCAAAATCAATTTACCTATACTACAATCATGACCCATAAAATGTTCAGAACATTGACATTGATGATCTTTACATTTACCACCATTTAAACAAGTTAAATCTTTTCCACCTAAATAAATATTAATTTTTAAAATAATATTCATTAAATATCTACAACTTACATTTAGTATTACTAGTTGATCGACGAACAATATTACTTTTTTCTAATGAATAATATGATGACTAGAAAAATTTAGTTTCTATAATCAGTTTTTTTTTTGTTCTTTTGAAATATTATCTTACCAATTGTTCTTGTCCATAAATGAATGCAGATGAAAAATCATCTATTGAACAATAATATTGATCGACATATAAAATCATAAGAAATATAATTAATCGAATATTTTCATGGATCATTCTTTTATTGTTTATTTATGAGAAAGTTTGTTTTTTTTTTTATTTAATTAATTTCAATAATACTCAATGTGTCTATTACTAGTGTATATAACCGATATATCAGACATTGTTTAAATGTAAAGCAAAATAAGATAAACAAATGGTTTTAATTTACATATCAACTAGTTTTCTTTTTTTTTTATTGTAATAGGAACAAAAACGAGGACATATTTAAACCTTTTTTTTTTCTTTTCTTTTGATTATTTAAATGCAGTTATGTTTTTGTCTTTGATAAATTAATCATGAGTAGAAGATTATTGAAAAAAAAAAAAACATCTTCATATGTTATGATATTGAATAGATAGGTAGAATTTATATTCTTATTATAATTGTGATTACAGACAAGAAGACATTCATAATACGAACTTATCTGATTTCTTTGATACTCTTACTGTTAAATCTTATTGAATTTTAAGAATTACAATCAGATCTTGCTAGAATTCTTTTTTTCATTAGATTTTGATACTTTTAAATAGTCTTTACTTTTTTTTTCTGTGTCACCATTTGAACTTGTCCAGTTTTGACTGATCCTCATCTTGCATCTTTTCACAAACGTTCTTTATGAATAGCTGTCAATCAAGTAATCTATATGAAATCGATGATATAATATTTCATTTTCTAAATATCTAATACAGTTATTTATGAAAAAATTGAATCAAGCTTTCTCTTTGATTTGATATTTTATTAGTTTAAAATATATACATATTGATAAAGATCAAGAACAAACTTGTTAGTTTAAATTATTACTATTGAATTTTTTAATACGATAATATATTGAAAATATCATAATTTTTATCATAGAATTTAATCTTTTTACGAATTCGGAAGTATTTTTATTCCAAGAAAAAAACAACCTATCGAATATAAATTTTTTTTTTCGGACTAGACAATATGCAATCATCATATTTCCTATTTAATATTATTTTTATATTTTCATCGTCTAATATATTCTAGCTTCCGTACTGTATGCAACTAGAAACCAATGTAGTTCTTGCTTTTACAACAAACTATTGTTGTTTGCACTGCTCTTTTAGATTCATTCTGGCATGAAACATAAGTAAGTACGTAAACATTATTAACTGTAGTGAAGGAGAAAAAACATATTTTTTATCGTTCGTGACATACGGAAGCTCTTTTGGTGCTATACCAATGTCGTCTGTGTTTTTTTTTTCGTTTAGTTTCAGCAATAATTTGCCAATATTATGTGCATAATTATACGTCACACACTTTGAAACTTCCATAGGACAAAAAAACTTCTTATTGACAAAGAAGAAAAAAAAAAACCAGGCATGAAGGTAATTTATTCCAATAACCAATGTCGATGGTATATAAGTGCATGAAAAAACAAGCAGACAACTCAATTATTTCATCATGCATCTTACCGGTATTTTTCTTCTACTAGTAGTAAGTTGATGCTGATTAACTAAACATTTTAAATCATGAATATTTTTCTTTGCAGTTATGTGCTTCGATTGGTACAGTTTCATCTTTGTCATGGAACGGACTGGTATCAACAGTACTGGGATGGCTAGGTTTGAGTGATCCGATAAATAAAATCAAAACTGAAACATGTTCATATTTTGCTAACCATCCCGATCGTGCTAATGAAACATTTATCAAGATCAATCAAGCATTACAAAGCAAAAATACGACACAACAAATGTTTGCTACTACTCTGGCTTATATTAATGATCCTGTGAATCAACTGAAACTAGTTAGTAATACAACCGCCTGTCCAATGTTTATTGATGAATTTATAAATGCACTTGTGACTGATTATCAAAACGCACGAGCCAATACACAAACTGCTCGACAAAATGCAGTAAACAAACTAAAAGAACTTTATACTACGTATAAACTTTGGTGATTTGACTTTTTTTTTTTTTTGTTCTAATTTAAACTCGAAATAAAATCTGAAAAACTTTTACTATTTATACTATTGTAGTTTGATGAATTAAAAGTTCGAGCTAAGTAGACATTTATATTATGTTTTATTGTAATACTATGAATAGAAGTTTTAATCTATTACTGAATATAAACATACAAGATGAGTTACAGTATTTAATAGCATGTAACAATACAATATATAATCAAACGCATTTAAACGACGAAGTAGAAAAGAATTTATGTCATATAAAAATATTTCATGAGAGATAATGATAGTATATATAGAGAGAAAAGCTTTATTGTACTACGATCCGTTCTATTTATCCTTCATTTTCAATTCTAAAAGTATCAAATTCATTCACATGATTGTTTATAGTGTATAGGTTATTTAATAATAAAGTAGAAGTTTTGACTATTGTAGAGCACCGAAAAAGAAAAATTCGCATCACTATTTTTTTTTTGAATTATATATTGAAACTACATTAGATGAATTGAATTCGATTATATGCCTGTATAGTAAAAGTTGAGTACGATATAAGTATATGTTTAATACAATAACAAAAACAAAAAACAAACTTCTGTGCTAAGAAACAAAAATACAAGCACATATTATGATTATGAAAGATGTTGTCGAATTAAGCCATCTATTCAAAATTAAGAGTGTGGCAAAGCGGTGTGTCTGCGTTTTAACCATACTTACACTCATATGCACAGGTACACTTCAAACTTCAAATGATGTGTTTTGTAGTACTTAAAAAGCGGGTATTTTGTGACAAAATTTGGTGTCTGGTCATATCTTCTAAGATTAATACTATTGAAGACATTAAAAGAGAAATGATAAGAGATGTTACACATAAGAGCTTGCGACCCAGGGCAAACTCTACAAAATTATAAGTAAAAAAATTCTTTTAAAAAACGCTTGCGAATGATACTAAGAACCAAGTCGTTTATCAGTAAATTGATTCTCATACTTGCTTCAAAATCGTATGAAAATAAAATTGACTGTATACTATTCAATATGTCTCAACTTGCTCTGCAACATAGTACATTTTGCTTCTCAATTTTGGATTAATAAATTAAATCATAGGGTTTTTCATAGCAATAATATCATTTTGTCTTTTTTTTTTTCTTAATACTGAAGTTCGTTTTATTTTTAATTATATGTCATATACAAGGCTTTTTTCGTATTACGCAGATGTATACATAGTACTTGACTTCAACTATGAAGGCGGTGACCGATCACTTCCTCGCGTTCTGTTCGTCGCATCCTACTCGATTAATTTCTGTTTTTTAAATAACTAATTGAAATAAAATAAATTAAAAATTCTGAAAGATTTGTATGATAACGATTGACTATTTTAAGGCATATGACTTTAATTGGGAAAACGGATCAATAAAAAATATTAATCAAAAGTGATCATGATAGAGCTAAAATAAACGAAGAATAATTAGATTTGTCACACAATTAATGAGTTTCAAGATAATCTAGACCAACAATAATACTAATCAAATGTTTTTAATTATACAATCACGATAAATAAAAATATACATTGATGAGATTGAAAATATCGGTATTGAAAATTCTATAGTGTACAGGTAATTTTCATAGGGGAGCACTGTTTCCTTTTGCAAGAAGAAGTTTTTCCATATTGAGACGTTTATTTTGAGTAGTGTGCAGTGAATATTGAGATTGAGAAATGAAATATATTTTCAATGTCATCAATGGATGTTTTTTTTTTATTGTAATCCCATAATTAAAAACATTGAATCTGTGTTATCGTTGGCATAGATTATGTTGAAACTCATTAATTGTGTGACAAATCTAATTATTCTTCGTTCACTTTAGCTCTATCATGATCACTTTTGATTAATATTTTTTATTGATCCGTTTTCCCAATTAAAGTCATATGCCTTAGAATAGTCAATCGTTTATCGTTATCATACAAATTTTTCAGAATTTTTTATTTATTTTATTTTATTTCAATTGGTTATTTAAAAAACAGAAATTAATTGAGTAGGATGCGACGAACAGAACGCGACAAAATGTACTAGTACCTATGAAGGCATATAGCCTAAGTAAATTAATGTGGTGTATCGTAAACACCTGAATCAAAACAAAAAGTTGATGCGAAACTTCTGAGATGCACTCTGTACTATCGAATTGAATGTTCCCTTTAATAAAACTGTTAATAACGTCATAGAGATATTTAATAATCTTCAAGCTGCTCTCTCGTGTAATGCCAATATGTTTATCTCAATCAATGTCACAAATAATTCTCGTTATTACGACTAGCTTGACTCACACCTAAAAGTTCAACTCTTTCTGTAAAACTTATTGCTTTACAAGTCTGATCGAAATTATTATTAAACATATGTATGCAGTTGGTTGTTGAGATATAGGTTTTCTAGAGTTTTGCAATTCGACACATGAACTCGTGCGGTTGCAATTTTGTCGGATTGGTTACGGTGTGTGGTCAACTCTGAAAACTGTCAGATTTTTGTCGGATTTTGTTCTCCTTGAGAAAAATAAAGCAACCACTCGTAGAGCCTCATTAGAGAATACATTATTGACAACTCATATAAAATGTCGAGTTAGATAGATATACAGAATGTAGAGTTGAATGTGTGTGATTAATGAGAATAATATCTATTGAAATAATGAACACAATATGTCCCATTAATGATTGTAGTATATGAATACAAGCAATTCTTAAGTGTATATCTGATGATTGAAAGCTATTTTTAACAGATTGTCTAATATATTCGGTCCGATCGAGGAATGGGTGATTGAAGTCAAGTTTTCTGATATAATAGTATTTTACTTGATATCGATAGTTTTGTTTTCATGTAAGTGAGTTTATAAAATTTTTCCTGATCAGTTTCATGTACTTTTGCAAAGACTTGTTTTGAGAAAGAAATACAAAGTAATGATATAGCGTAAAAGTCTTGTGATAATATAGTTACAGGTTACTTTTGCGCTTTGTTAAACTTCATTCGTCGCACGATGTAATATGGATATTTATCAACTTGGAAGTTCTTTTTCATTCTTTTTGAACAAAGTTCGAATGAGATTCGACGGAATAGTTAGTGACAGAAGTTTTTTTTTTACATTTACTAATTGTCGAAAATGCAGTTTATTTTCTAATGATCAATGATATCGAAATAATCGAATCTGATCTAAAGCAAGCAATTGTAGACAACAGTACGTTTAAGTTTTTTTATGTATGAGTTTTCAGGCAATTATGTCAATTGTGATGATATATCATGATTAGTTCTGATAAAATTCATTTAATATTATCAAGTCGTCTACGAAAGAATAGCTCTGCGAATCTTCTTATCGGCATATTGTGATATGGCTACATATGCTATTACAAATTCTTTTTCTATTATAGTTAAGACTCTAACAATGTTTTTGGGCTGCTTCATAGATAAATAAATAGTTTTGATTGATTACGATACAGCGCTATAAAAGACAATTCTGAAAAATATTTAATTGTCAAGTTTCATCATGATTAATATTGAATGGATTTTTGAGTAAATGAAAATCATATATCGGTTTTCAAATATTGTTGATACATTGTGCTTTCATTAAATAATACAGATTATTCTAGTTCTGTGTAACCTCTGACAAATTTACATTTCTAGTCTAGTATTTATATCTGTTTATTCTCAACCTACACACCCACCTACGTACAAAACCAAGATGAATGTAACAATCCCTCACGACTGCTCATGCCTATGCGAACATGTGCCAGAAGTTTCCTGAGTCTATGATATGTAATTTCAACAGTTGAGAAGTTCTAAAAGGACACTAAATAGCCGTTGTACAAGTCGTTGGTAGAACGAAACTAGACAAACGCGTGCAATATGCCTTGACTTGAGCAACGTCGTGTACAATCCCGGCAGTCTTTCATATCCAAACGACCGTGTATAATGTGGTAGGATATCAGATGGCAAATTGTAACTAAAATTGATCGAATGAGCATGACTGCATTCATAGTACAGCCAGTCTGTGAGTCACAAATTTATGACGTAAAAAAACGATACAAGCATAGTTCTTTTACGAAAACTCTCAAGATTGAGTTGAATAGTCATAATCTAGAGTAAACAGATTGTATATTGAACATTCATTTTGTTATGAAAATATCGATTATATTTCTGCATGCGATCAAACACTGTAAATATAGATAGTTTACAAGCTGTATTTACACTGTTTACTGCTGTAAAGTTGATATGTTTTCACATTTACTAACTGGAAACGAGTCGTAACGTTATCCATTTGAGCAACTTGAAATGAGTAAAGATTCAAAATATCAAAGTTTTCTAGCATCGAGACAATCTAGATAAGATTACATAGAATGTCTATTTGAATAATGCTCTTTGAATTAGATCCCCAACCTCGGAAAACCAAATTGGACGAAAGCTAGATAGTAGAAAAATCTGATTTTATGGCAAATCGATAACAAAATAATGTGGCTGGTTGAGTCAGTAGTATGAAAAATCTGAGATCCGAAGTAGCAGAAACATCTGATTGGCTGCATTACCAACATTAATAAAATCACATTTCAAATAGATACTAAAGGCTTTCACAAATATATGTGTATACATAACTTTACATGTGCAACCAATTGTACAAGCAAGCAAACTCATTTTATTTTATATGACTTTTCATTCAGTCGACAGTATACTATAGGAAAGAAAGCATAGCATAAAAACTCTATCGCGAAATACATTAAGACGTAGTATCATATATACACATCGCAAAATAGATATATTAAACGAACATGAATTATGTACAAACAAAAATCAAGCTTGTGATGGTATGTACAAACTGTTAGACTTGATATTATACAACAACTTTTATGCGCGCAAATTGAAATAAAATCCTAAGGTATACAGTGCAATCTTTATGAATAAACAGTTCACACGCATTGACTTTCGTTTGAAATGCATCTCTGATAAGTGAATCTTCCTTTTTTCTTCTTCTCCATTTCATCATATCTGGTTAACGCACTAAAACCCTTTATTCATTGTTTGTTTTAACTGTACATATCAGAAATGAAAATTTGGGTATTTCATTTTGTTCTGTATCTCATGTTTTAAGGTCCAGGAAAAAATATTTAAATTATTATAAAAAAAACAAACCACAATCATACTATTAAACGAAAATTCAAAATTATACATTGTTGATCATTTTTTAGATTCATAAATAATCAAAGGAAAATGGGTACACAATACAAGAAATGGTCTCTGATAAGTTCAAAACTATTTAGTAAAGAAGCTTATATTATGAAATGTTTTTTCATTTCTTAGTAAAATATATAGTCTCCCGTTGATAAACATCTGTCAATATTGAACACTTTTGAATAGTTACCGATGATATTGATTTAGGAGAGGTTGTACTGTAATCTAGATATAAGACAAGTAGAGACCATTATAATCGTATATGTATAGCCAATCCATGTGAATTTATACTTTATGATAAGCAGCAGAACATACCAATATGACATGAAAATTAACGAAGAAAAAACTAAGCAAGTTTTCAATTGGACTTTTAATCGATTTCGATAATATAATAATTATCTATTGATTGTCTTGTTATTAAATATGACTACAATTGGTAACCTTACCTTTTTTATGAAACATTTATAATTGTCAAGTGAAAAATTTAATCTTGCAGATACTATTGATTTATTTTATGAATCTTAATTTCAGCTGAAAGAAATATTCGAAAAGAGAACAAAAAATATTCTTTGTTATATTCATGTATAACAGTTTACGTATCATTAATCAATAATTCACTGCGATTACAAAAGAGATAACAAACCGAATGCCTTTGATAATTCATTTCATGGTAAAGTTTATAAACATCATCACAGGCACATGTAAATGCAGTCATATACACAAACGACAACTATGTGTTAGGCACGGTTCATTAATTGCATTGTATACAAGACGATTCTTCTTTTTGTTCGTTTTCTATGCTTTACCTTTTAGTATTTATATTTATGATACAGGGTGTCTCATAAGTTGTGGCAGATTTTTTTAAATCTAATTTTTGATGATAATGAATACAAATCAAACTCAAACTTACACGTATCATACAACTTAACATGTACTTTTATTTCATATATTTTATTTGAATTTAATCATTGGATATACAAAAAAATAAAGAAATTGGTACATGTGCAAAATAAGCACACCATCAATGTGTTACAATATATATACCCCGACAAAAGTTTCACTCTGTATTTCTCATATATTGTCACTATAAAAATAAGTTATTTTAAAACTAATTACATATTCTGAAAGCTCGCGGAGTTTTCTATCATTCTGTAGAATTAGGTTTTAGTTTTGACCTTTTCATTACCAAAATAAATTGAAGACAACGAAGGCACCCTCATGTCCAGATTCCCAGACTTGATCTTTCCTTCGTCATCAAAACTAGTTTTAAAAATTTTTCATCCGTATAGAATGATCTGTATGAAAAAGTAACTATAGATTCTGATAGAGCTTAAAATTCTCTATCACCCTGTCTATTTACTTATTTTCTTGCGTTTATAGATTGAAATAAAATTGAATACAATGAATATACTCCGAATCGACTAGCCCAAAAAATTTGCATTTTTTTTCGCTACTTAAATTTAAGACACTGTATTAATACATAATATCATAGAGCATTTCAAGTGCTATCAGAATGTGTGATTTCTTTTGTAAAAACTTACTCCCATAGGAATAGTAATTGGAGAAAAAACTAACAAAGTAGCGAAAAAATGCAGACTTTTGATATTTGTCAATGGAGGGTATGTTCATTGAATTTGTTTATTTTCTTGTATATTCAATGATCTAATCCAAATAAAATATATGAAATAAAAGTACATGCTAAGCCGTGTCATATGTATAAGTTTGAGTTTAATTTGTATTCATTATCATCAAAAATTAGATTTAAAAAAATCTGCCACAACTTATGAGACACCCTGTATTGTAACACATTGATGGTGTGCTTATTTTGCACATGTACCAATTTCTTTATTTTTTTGTATATCCAATGATTAAATTCAAATAAAATATATGAAATAAAAGTACATGTTAAGTTGTATGATACGTGTAAGTTTGAGTTTGATTTGTATTCATTATCATCAAAAATTAGATTTAAAAAAATCTGCCACAACTTATGAGACACCCTGTATAACTTTTCTAAGTGATATTGATGATACAATAAAATTTACAGATGTTTCATCATTACTAAAAATATTTCGGAATACTTTCTCTGGTAATTTTAAACCTATTTCTGGTATGTCCGATATATATCGATATTGGCTAAACAAATATAACGCAACATTTGCATATGTAACAGCATTACCAGATCAACTTTATCCATCTTTCCGTAAATTTTTCAATCGTGAAAAATTTCCCCCAGGTTCGTTTCATATGAGTCATTTTGCAGGGTTTGATAACAATATCATTGCATTTTACCTGTCTGATACATATCGTAAATATAAAACTCAAATAATATCTATGCTTCTAAATAATACATCAAAACGTATATTTATTTTACTTGGTGATATATTTCAGAAAGATCCTGAGATATATGCAAGTATTTATATGGAATATCCTAATCGAATAGCAAAAATTTTTATTCGAAAATATAAAAATGATATCGAAGGTCAACAACGTTTAGAACGAGTATTCAATAATATATCTCGAGAAAAATGGGCAACATTTGAAACAGGTAGTGATTTACCAGAGGATATTTTTGTTGCTTGAATTGTAATAAAATAATATTTTCAATAAACATATAATGAACAATGTTGAACTATTTTTTGATGGAAACTATGATGCATAATAAGAAGATGAGAGTTTATTTGTGATAATTGTTTCTGTGGAACTCACATATATTTTCGAAGCAAATAATGCGAGTAGAAGTTTAAAAGTGACATTCTTGAAGCTCTCCCTACTTTCTCAAGGCTCTAGCATACGGAAACAAGGAGAAGCTGAAGACCATTGCATTACTTTGCCATTGACATGGGGTCAAAGGTACCAATGATTTGGTAAGTTTTTACAAGCGACAAGAAAATGTGCTTTAATCATTCGGTGATTTTTTTGAAAATTTCAAAAGCATTCTATGAATCAAGGATTTGTGTGATAGATTTGAACTAGTCGAAATGATACGGATTTTGGTATTTAATGTAGCGAAAGGATCTTATCGTAAATATCGACCAGTAGGGCGATGATATCAATTAATCTAGTCGAGCTAGAATAGCGTAGACATAAAGTATGAACTAATTGAATTCTAAATTGAGACAAGTACTAACAATATATGCCAATATTTGTCGAGAGGAAGAAGGATGTGCTTATAAACTTACAGCACTATCAAATCAATCTTATGTAGTAGGCTATTATAAGGAGAAAAAGAAGTTATGCATTGAAGATGTAACTGACAATACAAATAAGATTTTGAGCATGATGATGTTAAATAAATCTGATAAGTTGGTAGAATAGTCATTCGAAATGTTGACATTTTTCATACGATAAAATTTCAGAACATGCCTATCAGTTATAAAAAAAATGATTAAACTTGGATTGATTTATTCATTTGTTATTTTTTAAAATGAATTATTTTAACCTTTCTAACTATAGATGATAAATTTACAGCAGCCAGAGTTTGTGAATTCCACACTTTTACCGCTCAAGGTGTCACACTGTTAAATTGTTATTAGTTAATGGAAAATTTTCCATAGAAATAAACAAAGATGATTTTTATTGCATTTTACCATAAGTCTTTCGTTACAGACGAAAGATGGCGTGACGTTATAAGTGTGACAGATCCTGGAGATCTGCATAGGGATTAATGACTTTCGATATGCAGATTCCCAAACCTCATCAAAAAAAATGAGGAGTTATAACCAGTTTCATTCTCTGCTCTTGATACTAATATGAAGTAAAGCGAATACAACTGGTCATAATTGACACAAAGAATCAGTCAAATTCACAGGATTTTGATACCAAAATTCTACAAACTATGTAAACATTCAGGATTCAGTACAGCATTATGTCGTATGGCGGCTAAATTGTAGTATGAATAATTATTTTAGTTAAATATAGATTTTCTCTCGAGATAAGTTTTTTCTTAGTTATGAAACATATTATCACCGGAGTAAATAAAGTATAAACTGATGTGAATTGATTATATAAAAATGATTAAAATGGTCTATTAGTCTTGTATGTAGATTACACTATAACTTCTTCTAAATGCGAACACCATTGAGGACTATTCAAAAGTGTTCAATATTGAGAGATGTTCATCTATGAGAGATACAATATATTTTACTAAGAAATAAAAAAAAAAAATCTCTCATAATATGAGATTCTCTACTAAATAGTTTTGAAATGATCTGAGACTAATCTTCGTATTGTTTATCTTTTTCCCATTGAATAGTTAAAAATAAAAAAATAAAAATCTTCAACAAAATATAAAACTTTGCTTCTTCTATCAAGTTTTCTATTATGATTTTAGTCTTGATATACAAGTACTCGAAAAAGTATTCAAACACTTGAGATCACTCTTAACCTTTCTCGAAAACAGTTTCCTGTACAGCATATGTAAATTGCATGAAATTTTCAGAATATGTTGGAACTGTAGTGGAGAGGCTATGGTGAAACATTCATCCATATATCATGATGTTTGAAGGAAATAGTCACTAAACAAAGGTCAACAATGTTTCATTTGGCAATTCGAAATTCTCTGTGAGTCTTCATTCTATATATTTAATTTTCTGTTAGTTTGAAAAAGCACGTCAAGATGCAGAGCAAGATAGAGCTCTTTTCTGTAAGCCTTCACTTATTAAGCAGAAAAAAATGGATGGCTACTTCAATAACCTAAAATGCTCCCATTTTTTCAAAATTTTCTAGATATCGAAGTTTTTATCCATTATCTTCACTTAAAAAGAGAAATTTAAATAAAAGGATTCTGCCATACGCTGCATCTTCACATGCTATTTCAAACATAAAAGACTAAATAGATAGAATAAAGGCTCACAGAGAATTTTGGGTTATCTAATGAACCATTGGTGGCCCTTCTTTAATTAATATCTCCCTCAAATATCATGGTATATGGCTAAACGTTTCACCATAGTCTCTCCACTACAATGCCAATATAGCCTGGGAATTTCGTGTGGTTTTCATCTGCCTGGATCAAAATCAGTTTTGAAGAAGAGTGGAATTGGCCTCAAGTGTCCGAATACTTTTGCGACTACCTATATGTGAATTTGATGAGCATTGCTCTACCATTGATCCAAATACATATATTCATCAAGTTTTATTGCGTCAAAAATTTTGAATTTTTCTTGAATGGTTTGATTTTGGTTGTTGTTTTTAGAATAACTTGAATATTCTTTACTTTGTCTTCAAATATGAATTCTAGAACCAAATGAAATATTTGAATTTTCATGTCTGATATGTACAGTTATAACAAACAGTGAAAAGTAGTTTTGTTGCACTAGCGAGAAATGATGGAGAGTGAGGAAGAAGACAAAAATATTCGCCTTTGAAAGATGTATTTTGAACAAAAGTCGCTTTATGGAAGGTATTGACTAAGAAAGGTTTCATTGTATTTAAGTTAGAATATTATGTCGATATAAGTACATACAATGTCCGCATAATTTCAAGTCCAATGAGTTGTACAGATCAGAACATAGATTTCATTAACGATAAAAATTGTTCTATACCATTGCTTATGATTTTAATAATTAGAATAAGCAGCAGAACATACCAATATGACATGAAAATTAACGAAAAAAAAATTAAGCAAGTTTTCAATTGGACTTTTAATCGATTTCGATAATATAATAATTATCTATTGATTGTCTTGTTATTAAATATGACTTCAATTGGTAACCTTACCATTTTTATGAACTATTTATAATTGTCAAGTGAAAAATTTAATCTTGCAGGTACTATTCATTTATTTTATGAATCTTAATTTCAGATGAAAGAAATATTTGCAGAAGGAGCAAAAAATATTCTTTGTTATATTCATGTATAACAGCCTACGTATCATTAATCGATAACTTATTGCTGTTATATAATAGATAGCAAACTGAATGTCTTCGATGATTCATTTAATTGTAAAGTTTATAAATATCATCACATACACATATAAGTGCACTCATCTAAACAAACGATAAGTATGTATTAGACACGGTTCATTAGTTGCATTGTATATAAACGATTCTTCTTTTTGTTCGTTTTTGTGCTTTACCTTTTAGTATTTATATTTATCATATGAAAACAAATAGTTGCACAAAATAACAAGCATTCATGGTTGATATTTTTGTTTATTTTATTTTTATTTTCATAACAACAACTAATGGATTTCTATTTGATGCTAACAAAGGTCTAATTCTTTTACCATCAGTTGCTTTTCGAGATCACTCAAAAAATCCATCAATAAATTGGATTTTTTCTAATCAAGGATGGTATTATCAAGAAGACATTTTGAAAGCCGAAGTAATGAAAACAACATTACGCATAGCTATTGGACCAAATATAAACATGAATCGTGTTAAATTATTTACAGCTGAAGGGCAGGAACATGAAACTGTATGTATTGATAATTTCAATCAACGTATCTGTACACGTACCGATGATGAAGGTAGAATTAAATTTACAATTCGAATTGGTAATAATGAAATTAATCGATTTATTCAATCTGATGGTAATGGTGCTAAAATGGTTTATCAAATGTCAGTATTAAACAACAATATTCATGCAACTGGTGAGATTATTTAGATATTGAATTGTATAAATAAAATTGTTTTCATGTTTATTTGAAATTGTTCAAATATTAAGTCATTATGCTATCATCCATTCACAAATGCAATGAACTTTGTTGTATCGCGAATAAGTCAAGCATCGAAGTACTGAGAGATCTGCAGTTTTTAGGATTCGAAAGAAGATTGATTACTTCATTAATCTATGTCAAAGTTAAACAATCAGAAAGTGACCAGTAATGATCAGGTCTTAATGAATATTTCGAAAACGATACCCTTGGAAAATTTTTCATTACATGTTGACTTTGAAGATAGTCGTTCGATAGTTAAAAACAAAGTATATGTTAGTGGTTTTATTACCAAGTTATAGGCATTCTTCTGAGACTGTTAAAATGTACGAATTGACCAGTAGTCAGTTTGAAATGAATTGGTACATAAGGTTTTGACCATGATGACACAAGTTGCAGTGTTTATTCTCTTTTTATCAAAAGCAATATTAACAAATACGACCCAAATTTCAAAATAGTCAGCGTTGAATTTTATAATATCGGTTTGATAATCTCGTGTTATTTTAAAAAAGGAGATAAATATGGTCATGTGTATCAGCATGGTCAAAATCTCATAGATTAGCTCATATCAAACTGACTACTGATCTATTAGTCTATCTCAAGGGTCTCAGAAGAACACTAAGAACTTGGAAACAGAACCGGCAAGATACAAATTGATTTTGTCTGTTAAATGACTATCTTGAAAATCTAAATCTAATAGGAAGCTTTCCAACAACATAGTTTCCGAAATGATGATTAAGAGCTCATCAATACTGATCACTTTTGATTCTTTGACTTTTACATAAGTTGATAAAGTTCTTTGTTGTGTTTTGAATACTGAAAATTGTAGATCACCAGGTAGTTCGATGTCTGAATTATTCATAATAGAAAAAGGTCCATTGACTTTTTGAACGGATAATATTTATTGCTTCGTCTGATTGCAAGTACTGCTAGTTTAAGTTCCAAGTATATAAATCGAATAATATTTATCATTTTTGTTATATGTTATCGATTTTCAACATGTCTTTACATATGTCAATATAGTTTTGTGAAAAATTTTGAAGTGAATTGAAATTTCTATGTATACATTTAATTATTGGTTCACTCAAATTGTATAAACTGGTATATTTAGTCTACAGATAGATTTTTATAATGAACGTAACATGTTAATGGGTAATGTAGTGTAGAATTTGAACAGCTTTTAGTATATTTTGATGTATAAGATAAACAATTGATGTTAACTATTTGCATACTATTATCATGATTTGATGATACATAGGATGCACCAAAAGTCATCACATCAGTGCAACAATATTGTTGGAACAACTCGACGAACATTTTTCTTTGTTTATATTTTGAAACCCCAAAAAAAAGTAGCAATTGTTTCGATTATTCAAATTTATTGGATATAGCTAACTAAAGAAGTACAGCGATTACATGAATTGATAGTAGATGACAAACTCTCGATATTTTAGACCTGAATCGGTTTACGTTCTTCGAACTATATCCAAACCGCAATCGAATAGTTTTCATCGGCTGCAATTCAACGCAGTAATTTAGTCTCCAAACAATGTTTGATATCTTTTGTAAAAGGAACTAATCAAATAATCTTTAAAAAAGCTGCTAGATATGGAAAGAAGATAGATATATAATTCTCATTACTATATCAATAATTTCCTAAAACTCTTTTTTACTAGAATGAGAAAACAGAGGTCATGAATCAACAGTCAAGATATTTGAAGTCATTGCAATAAAGTCCAAGGGTTTATTTATAAAGAGCCTTGTGTGATCCTCTATCAAAACGTATTATAATTATTTAATATTCAGGTTTAATCAAACGTCTCCTAATCACTAAATGGAATGTCACAATCAAGATTATGAGTCGTTATTATCGAAGACTATTTGAAAAATAGCGTCAACAAAATTCATATGCCTGTGTAAGCATAATCAGGAGCTCAAATACTCGATTAACTCTTTCTTTTGAGATTTTATCTGCCAAAATCATTAATTTTGACATAGCCTAATTAATTCCTTCATTGTTCAGAAATTCTCATTTCTGAGTTATTGAAAATTTCTGCTATGTTAGTGCGATCGATGTGTAGTTCTCATTATAATTACTTTGTCAACATTTTTTCAAAGGATAACATAAAATATGAATCGATTTTTTTATAGGTGAAGTTTATTTATGTGATGATAATGGTATAACTTTTCTAAGCGATATTGATGATACAATAAAATTTACAGGTGTTTCATCATCAACAGAAATACTTCGGAATACTTTCTCTCGCGATTTTAAACCTATTTCTGGTATGCCCGATATATATCGATATTGGCAAAACAAATATAAAGCAACATTTGCATATATAACAGAGTCACCGGATCAGCTTTATCCATTTTTACGTGAATTTTTTAATCGTGCAAACTTTCCATTAGGTTCATTTCATATGCGTCATTTTACATGGTTTGATAAGAATTTTATTGCATTCTTCATGTCTAATAATTATGTTACACATAAAACTCAAACCATATCAATGTTTTTAAATAATACATCAAAGCGTAGATTTATTTTACTTGGTGATATATTTCAAAAAGATCCTGAGATATATGCAAGTCTTTATATGAAATATCCTAATAGAATAGCAAAGATCTTTATTCGAAAATATAAAAATGATATCAATGGTCAAAAACGTTTAGAACGAGTATTCAATAATATACCTCGAAAAAAATGGGCAACATTTGAAACAGGCAGCGATTTACCAAAGGATATTTTTGTTCCTTAAATTGTAATAAATAAAATTTTTAATAAACAAGCAATAAATAAAGTTCAAGTATTTTTTAATTGAAACGGTGATGCATAATAAGAAGATGAGAGTTTATTTGTGATAATTGTTTCTGTAGAATTCACATATATTTTTGAAGCAAATAAGGTAAGTGGAAGTTTAAAATTGAGATTTTTGAGGCTCTCTCTACTCACCCGAAAGCCCTTGCAAACGGGTGACGAGGGGGAGGCAAATACCATTGCACTACTTTGCCATCAAAATGCAGTGAAAGGTAACAATAAGTTGGTAAGTGTTTACAAGCGATAAGAAAAGATGCTTCAATAATCATGGTGCTTCCATCATTCGATGATTTTTTTGGAAACTTTGAAAACATTCTATGAATCAAAGATTTTTGCGATAGACTTGAGCTAGTCGAAATGCTACGGATTTTGGTGTTTAATGCAGCGAAAGGATCTTATCGTAAATGTCGACCAACAGGACGATGATATCAAATAAACTAGCTGAGCTAGAATAGCGTAGACATAAAGTATGAACTGATTGAATCCAAAATTGAGGCAAATACTAACAATATATGTCAATATTTGTCGAGAGGAAGAAGGGGATGCTTATGAACTTACAGTACTATGAAATCAATCTTATGTGGTAGATTAATATAAGGAGAAAAAGAAGTTATGCATTGAAAATATAGCTGACAAGACAAATAATAGTTTGAGTATAACGACCTTGAATAAATCTGATGAATTGGTAGAATAATAATTCGAAATGCTAACATTTTCCATATGCTAAAATTTGAGAGCATACCTCTCAGCTATAAAAAAAAGCGGTCATACTTTTGATTTATTTGTTCATTTCCCCAGTTTTTAAAATAAATTATTTTACTCTTTCTGACTATCTATGATATATTTATAGCAGTTAGAGTTTGTGAATTCCATACTTTTACTGCTAAAGTGACCGCATTAATAAACACAAAGATTCAGTCGAGTTGGAAGGGTTTTGATACTGAAAACCGACAAACCCTATGAAAGTTTTTAGGATTTAGTACACCCCTAGATGAAGTAGATGACAAATTTTGATATAAATATTTCATTTAAATATATGTTCTCGTTCGAAATAAGTATGTTTCTCTTAGTTATGAAATGTATTGTGACTGGAGTAAATAATTATTGAAGTCATAAACAATGATATAGAACAATTTTCATCGTTAATGCTTCGGATATACCACACTTAATGATGCAGATCCTGTAATGTCTCATAGACAACTCGAGAAAATTTTTTCTGTAAAGATATTCATAGCCTAAATGATGCTCTTTAATTCTAAAATGTTTCATCATTCTTCATTTGCTATCACAATATTGAGAACACAGTAAAAGTGGTGACGACTTAACAATAAAAAAAACTTTAGGATATTCAGTAAATCACTAAACAAACAATAAATTGAATATCTCAACTATATACTGACTAAATGAGATGACATTTTTACCAATGATAAAGGAGTATTCATAGCCCGTATTCATAAAAAATTATTTTTGAGTATCATTACTGGCTTCGTCGAATGAGTATAAATTTTTCACGGATTATCAAAGATCAATATATAGTTTTTCTCTACTAATTCTTGCTGCTTATGGTTTAAACTTTCAGGGTACATTGACTAACAAAAAATATATTTGTAGTGCAACGATGAGAAGACTCCACCGTGGAATACTAAGAAAAAGTAGATATGTAGTTTGTTCTACACAAAAAATATAATATATTGTTTTTTTTCGTAATTCGTGAAAATTACACGTATTTGACAAAGTCCAGTTATAATACTTGAAAATAATTTTTCTCAACGTTTCTCTTATGAATATGAGCTAGGAATACTCCTTTATCACTGGTAAAAATATCATATCATTTAGTCAGTATATAGTTGAGATATTCAATTTGTTGTTTGCTTAGTGATTTACTGAATATCCTAAAGTTTTTTTCGTCAAGTCACCACCACTTTTACTATGTTCTCAATATTGTGATAGCAACTGAAGAATAATAAAACATTTTAGAATTAAAAAGCATCATTTGGGCTATCAATATAAATAGAGAGAAAACTTTCTCGAGCTATATAGAAGATATTACAGGATACGCGTCATTAATTTGGGTATGCCGCAAATAATGTCTATATGTAAATCGACATAAAATGTTAAGGTAAATATAGTGAAACCTTTCTTAGCTAATGCTTCTCGTTGGAAATGCATCTCCCATAGGTGCACATTGTTTGTTTTTTCTTTTTCCTCTTCATCATTTCTTGTTAATGCAGTGAAAACCACTATTCATTGTTTGTTATAACTATACTTATCAAGAATGAAAATTCGAATATTTTCATGTTATAGAACTTGATAAAAGAAACAAAGTTTTATATTCTGTAGAACATTTTTTAGATTCGTAAATATTTAAATGAAGAAAAATAAACAACACAGAGTATGGTCTTTGATCACTTCAAAACTATTTGGCAAAGAAGCTTATACTATAGAACATTTTATTTTTCATGTCTTAGTAAAATATATAGTATCTCTCAATATGGAACACTTTTAAATAGTTCCGAATGATGCTTATTTAGAAGAGGTTGTACTGTAATCTAGGTACCAGACAAGTAGACCATCATAATCCCATATGTATATCCGATTCATATCAGTTTATACTTTATGATAAGTAATAGAACACATCAATATGAAATGAAAATGAATGAAGAAAAAACAAAGAAAATTTTCAATTGAACTTTTAATCGATTGGACAATAATGGTATATTGATTGCGTTGTTATAAAATATGACCACAAATGATAATCTTATTTTTTGGTCTACAAAATGTTTGTAAATTTTAACGATTTTCAAGTGAACCATTAAGGCTTGTGGTTACTATTCTTTTTGTTGTGAATCATAGTTTCAAATGAAACAGAGATTCGAAGGAAAAACAAACAGTATCCTTTGCTATGCCCATGTATAATAGCTTACGTATCATTAATTAGTGACTCATTGCTATTATATAGAAGATAGGAGAACATACACTTTGCATGACTTATTTAATGGGAAACTTCATAAGCATCATCAAATGTACATAAAGGTATACTGAGCTAAAGAACAAATAATTGGGGATTACACACTATTTATCAGGTAAATGTTATCCATATGACTCTTTTGTAATTTTCCCCTGAGTATATGTATATAATAGCATACGAATGTAACTATTTGTACACAATAACAAATAGTCATGGTTAATATTTTTATTTATTTTATTTTTATTTTTATAACAAGAGTTAATGGATTTATATTCAATGATAAAGAAGGCCTAATTCTTGTACCATCAGTTGCTTTTCGAAATCATTCAAAAATATCTTCAACGAATTGGATTTTATTAAATCAAGGATGGTATTATGAAGAAGATTTTCAACAAGCTAGAATAATGCAAACAACATTAGAAAGCATCGTTGGCAAAGATTTAGATGGAAGTCTTATAAAATTATTTACTGCTGATGGAAAAGAAAAGAAAAATGTATGTATTGATAATTTGAATAAACCTATTTGTACACTTACCGATGATGAAGGTATAATTAAAAATACATTACAAATTAGTCAAAATGAAATTAATCGATTAATTCAATATGATAATAATGGTTCTAGGATACTTTATCGACTATCAGTATTAAACAAAAATATTCAAGCTACTGGTAAGATTATTTAGAAATATGAATTGTATAAATAAAATTGTTTTCATGTTTATTTTAAATTATTCGAATATATCAAGTCATTAGTATTATGCTTTTCAGATTTCTGAAATCGACTAATTGAACAGTGATCAGTTTGAAATGAGTTGATGTAGAAGGTTTTGACTATGCTAACACAAATGGTGATGTTAGTTTTATTTTTAAAAATAACACGAGGTAATAAAATCATTATTAAAAAAAATGCAATGTTCTCACATAATATCTTATTAAAACTGACGATATTAAAATTTTGTTCTTATTTTTCTCATGTTGCTTTAAAAAAGAAAATAAACACCATCACCTGTATCAGCATGATCAACACCTTCTATATGAATTTAGTTCAAATTGGTCACTGATCAATTCGTCGATTTCAGAAGAATACTTATAACTAGACAATTAGACCATCTGGAAAGACCTTCATTTGCTCTATCAAATGAATATCTTGAAAATCTAAATCTCATGAAAACTTTCCTAATGACATCGTTTCCATACGGGTAATCGAGAACTAATCACTACTTGATCGGTTGATTTTTTGCATAAATTGATAAAGTAATCTGTCCTCTTCTGCATATTGAAAACTGATGATGACTGAGTATTTTTCTCCTTGGCTTGTTTCTGATACAATAAAGTTCATTGACTTAGTGAATGCACAATAGTTATCGCTTTATTTTATTAAAAGTATTTATAGTTCAAGTTCGAAGTATAACAATCGAAATTTCTTAGAATCGTTCAAGATCGTATTGAATTCTTGCAGATACGACAGCACTCAATATTTGTCACTTTTGTTATATACTATCGAGTTTTAACATGTCTTTATACGTTTCAGTATTAGTTTTGTAAAAAGTTTTGAAATGAATTCAAATTTCTACTGATACATTTATTTGTAGTTCACTCATATTGTATATACTTGTCTGTGTAGTCTAGAGACAGATTTTTATCGTGAACATAACATGTTATATTGGTAGTGTATTGTAGAGTTTGAACGGTTTTTAGTATATTTTGATGTATCAGATAAACAATTAATGTTAACCATTTGAATACTATCATCATGATTTGATGATACTAAGGGTGTACCAAAAATAGTCATATCAGTGTAATAAGATCAATGAGATAACTCGACGAACATTCTTCTTTAATTATATTTCGATAACCCAAAAGTGGTAACAATTATTTCGATCATTCATATTTATTGGATATAGCTCACTAAAGAAGGATTGAGAGTAGATGACAAACTTTCGATATATATATATATTAGACATCAATCGGTTCACACTCTTCGAACTAGAAGCGAATCTCAAAATAATGTTTTGTATCTTTTCTGACAGCAATTTATCAACTAATCTTTAGAAAGCTGACAAATATGGAAAGAAGGAAGACATCTAATGACCGTCACTATATCAACAATTCTCTTTAGCTATTTACTAACAAAATGACAAGGCAAGGACAATCGGCTAACATTTAGGACATCGAAAATCCATTCTTACCTTATTCTATAGATAAATGACTGTATATTTTTCAGGTGCTTGATCTAAATGATAAGCATCATTAACCAAACGGCCTCTAACAACTATATGGAATGCCACAACCAAGATTATGAAGTTTTTCCATCAAAGAGTATTTGAAAAATAGCTTCAATAGATTGATTGTGTCTGATTAAAAGCAATACTTGATAAACCCTTTACCATGGAATCTATCCGACATAATCATTATTTTCTATAAATCCTAATTAATTCTTTCATTGAGCAGAAATTGTCATTTATCAGTTGTTAAACATCCTTGTTATGTTATTATACTCGATCTTTAGTTTTCCATATAATTACTATATCAACATTTGCTCAAAGAATAACATAAAATGTGAATCGATTTTTTTTTCTTATAGGTGAAGTTTATTTATGTGATGATAATGGTATAACATTTATAAGTGATATTGATGATACAATAAAAATTACAGGTGTTACATCATCAATACAAACAATTCTGAATACTTTTTCTGGTAATTATAAATCTGTTTCTGGTATGTCCGACATATATCGATATTGGCAAAACAAATATAACGCAACATTTGCATATTTAACAGCATCACCAGATCAACTCTATCCATGTTTACGTAAATTTTTTAATCGTGAAAAATTTCCATTAGGTTCATTTCATATGCGTCATTTTACTTGGCTGGATAAGAATTTTATTTCGTTTTTTATGTCTAATAATTATATTAGAACTAAAACAGAAACAATATCGATGTTTATAAATAATACATCAAAGCATAGATTTATTTTACTTGGTGATATATTTCAAAAAGATCCTGAGATATATGCAAGTATTTATATGAAATATCCTAATAGAATAGCAAAGATCTTTATTCGAAAATATAAAAATGATATCAATGGTCAACAACGTTTAGAACAAGTGTTTAATAGTATATCCCGAGAAAAATGGGCTACATTTGAGATAGGTAGTGATTTACCTCAAGATGCTTTTATTGCTTAAATTGTAATAAATAAAATTTGTCAATAGATAATTGTTATTGTTAGTGAAACATATCCCGTAGAAATGATTGCATTCAAATAGAATGAAACTTTCAAGATATATTGAATCTGTTGTGAAATGGTAATGGTAGAATTTTCAGTTTCATGCGATGAGACTCAAAGGAAATATTCATTAAACAGCGGTTAAAAAAGCTCATTTGATGTTTCAAATTTCTCGTGGAATCCACATTCTATGTGTTAAGTTTCTTTTTTAGTTTGAAAGCACCCATCAGGTTGCAGTATCTGGCAGAGTATTATTTGAGATTCTTACTTTTTATGCAGAGAAAAAGAACATGACAAATTTAATACCTGAAAAAATGTTCATCTGTTTATGAAAGCATCGTTTTTATAATATAGTCACGAAGTTCATTTCAAAAATGGTCATTACAGCTTCATATATTTTCTCAAAGAAAAATATTGCTTACAATGAAGCTTTCTTGAGAGTTCGGAGATGTGCAATAAAAAAAGTGTACACAGACAAAGAAACGAAAATGATTTTCTATTTGTTACGATAAAGTACTAGTTGTTCAGAAGAAGATGATAGAAATCATTTAAAAAAAAATTAATAAGAAATACACTGCAAAATAAACAATCATATTATATGCAAAAGATCAAACATCCAGCGATCCTTTCATACATTGACCTTAATTTTGATATTCTAATGAACATCAACTTTTCTTATGAGGTATAGTGGGTTAACATCTGATAATCTTTTCACATCTATTTATTTAACTGGTTAAACTCTATATAAAAGCATACAAGTAGTTATAGTTGTTTTATTTCTTCTTACTCCAGAAAAAAGAAGAATATTTTCATTGTATATTCTACAAGAAATCTTTCGATAGAGATGGCAGATGTTGTAGCGTAAATAATAAATTTTAACATGTATAAGTATTTTATCTAAATATAGTTTCTCTTTTAAAAGGAGTTTCTTTTGACTAGAGAAAAATTTAATATGAAAAAATGTCGACATTGTTTTTTTCTTGATTTAATCCGATATCATTTCCTTCTGCTCTGATCTTAATATCGAACGGCATCTTCCTGATCGAAGAATATAATTTATATACATATGATAGAGTACGAAAATATTACGACATCTTTAGAGCATTTTACAGTGAAAATACAGTAATATCGGACATATTATAACGACATAAAAAGGTATGTAAACGCCCGATTTCCTATCTTTATATTAAATGAAGTGTATTTTCCAATTTTCGGTAATACATGTCCCCATCTGTGATTACCTAAACACCATTTTTCATCTTCAGTTTATAAATATACGAACTCATACTTTATAAGCTTTAAAACAACATTTGGTCTATGTTGTCATTAGACTGTTATGAGACTTTTTGTTTCTTCTATTTTTAAACTAATGAAATTATCATAAGTAGATATACTTCTATGCTACAGAGTAGATTAGTTAAATGTTATAAAAAAAATCAGTCTTTTTTTATTCTCAAACAAAAAAATAACAAAACCACTCGTTCTTATCATTCGACACCAATAGAAATATACTTCCAATTAATGTACCATTTTATTGCGTCTTAATGTAAGTAATCCTAATCTTACAGATTTTATTTGGGGCTTGTCAATTCAAAGGTTAGTCACTCTAACAACTAATACGACTGCGATAAATTTACAATCAGGCTAAAAAAAATAAAACTTATACTAATGAAGAGAGACGTACAATGCTTTTCTATACATTCAAACATTTTATTTTAAAATATATGTTCAAATTGTATAGTACCTAATAACCAAAACGATACATATAATCTATGCCAAATGAATATTCAAATACAAAAATCATATTCTGAATTTAAAAAAATGATTGGTTACAGAAAAAATTTTAAAGAAACAAAACAATGCATATATTTTTGCAGGCCGTCAAAGATTTAACCAACATTAACAACAGTATTTACTTAAAGTAATAATTTTATTGGTAATAAACTTTGCAGCTTAGCTGCTTCATTCACTTTATGGAGAAAGTCAATACTCGTCAAAATCAAGACTCTTGGTACTAATGATACTTCTTGACGTAGTATTTCAAAGAAACGACTCAGTTGTAGTCGTAGTCGTTGATGATACAGTTTGGCGTACAGATGACTGAGCTATAGAAGTCGTTGAAGTTGATGTCAATGTTTTTGTACTAGTCAGTAACGATTCGAAAATTGTTGTTGACATGTAGGAATTCATCAACGAAGTTGATAAGGTTGATGGTTCTGTATATTGTTCAGTTACCGACGAAGTCGATGCTTTCATGACCGTAGACGAATCAGTCATCATTTTCGTTAGTGTACCATTCGGCGTAACCCAATAAGAAACCATTGTGGATAATGTCGGCATCGATGTGCTAGATTCCGTCAAAATAGAAACAGATCCAGTAAATCGAGTGA